GCAGGCTATCTGCAGGTAGACATCAGAAACACCTGCACAACTCCAATTCTGCACTAAACCTGCATATTTATGTGAAGTTCGAGCCCTGTCAAACCATGTTCTTATTCGTGCGAATGTAAAATGAAACGCGATATTCCTTCCAATATGTGAGCTATTATCCAATTTAGTTTGTAATATCCGTTGCCTCGCCTCTTCTAGCCAAGAAGCCAGAAAAGGGCAAAGCGTTTTATGTGACGATGTTCAGATGCAGAACAGTTATTGGCGGTGAAGAACGCGGAGATAAAAATATCCTGACGATGGATGTGATTAGGCCATGTTGATTTGATTATATGGATGACATCCACGCGTGCATGAATTTCGGCCGTTTCCATAAAAAACGTTTTCAACCATACTGTAAATCGTACAAAACAGTTGCAAAATGAGCAAATCTATACCGTAAGTTGTAAAAAAAAGGATTGGAAAACAATGTCATAGAATGTCAAAGTCAAACGAAAAAGACGAAAGTGTAAAGAAATGGATTCGAAGAGTAGATTATTCGCCATACCATACCCTGTGCCATCTGCTCAACCTTCATGACCACGTATATTTTATAATGAAAGCTACATTTTTTTGGCCACACTTTTATTTTATTGTACGCTCGCATCAGTTTTGGGGTTCCCAGTGGATGTCATCCATATAATCAAATGAACTTTGCCTTACTGGTCTCTTTATGCTACAAGAGTTTGTTACCATTTCCCATCACCGTTTCCATAGCGCACGCCCTACCCATAATCCTCTGGGGTCCTGTTTCTCACCTGTTGCCCCCCTCCCCCAATGACCGTGATACGCCACCAACGCATTGGCAATGACCTTGACACATTCATACGAAATGTTGGACACTTAAGACATGGATTCCTCTTGCTCTAATACGTACAGACATATATGAGAAATACATAAGCTTTATTGATCAACAGTTGGAACAAGGTACAAAGTATTGCAAGCATTGGCAACAAGTATTTTCTAATTCTGAAAAAAAATCCACTGTATACACTCAATTATATAAACGTTAACCGCAACGAAACGCTCATATTGATGGCTTATCGTAAAATCTGACCTCAGAAGTAATTGCTATGTTGCGTGTTAAATGAACACTTGCCACTAAAACGTTAAAGACATCCGGCTCATAATGAGAGCCCCCCTCCCCCTTAGCGCAGGCGGTGGTCAATGCTAACTCGAGCTTGGAGACTGTTTCCATTGGGCCCAGCAGGAATTTAATTATGCCGGTAATGAATCGGACGGAAGTTCTCTTTATGGTAAAGTCTGTTTCCTTTCCCGTTGAAATTAAAGGCAACAGAGTTTCCATTTTCGAGGTCTGGGCAATTTACTGACATGAATACCAGGACTCGAAATGTTTTTTTCCTGTCACCTACAACATTGCAAGTTGTCAGAAAATTTACCTGCAATTCGGCAAAACTGCTGCAAATACTCACGCCTTCTCTAACAAAATAAGGTCTTTATCATCATAAATTTGTAATTGCTATTGGCAATTTAGGTTAGTAGCTGATGCTGCATGGCTAGATTCTTGTTTCTACTACACAGCTGTAATGACAAATTTTACCTGCAGTTTGATCACATTTTCCGCGGGTCACATGTGGGTATTTCGAGCCCTCTGACGTGACAATATATTCCCTACTACACATAACTATCCAGCAACACTGTGACGCTGCTTGAAACAACTTCGAACCTTTTTTTAGGTCCAGTCCGACTGTCGATGAAATGGTAACCGTTATTTCTAATTTAGAAAGGCTGAAAGCCCCTGCTCATTAAATATCGTACTAACAAGAAACTGTTTAGGCAGACACGGTGGCACGCAAGAGTTCACATTATATAACGAGACTATAGTTACATAATACATTCCCCACGAACAGTGGCCGACTGAGAAGTCTTCTGCCAAGTATCCAATCAAGTCTAACCTGGCTAGTAACAAAGCCGTGACTCTTTCTTCCTCTCCACAAAATTGGCTAATCAAGCCTACTTTCTACCCTCAGAAATTACATTTTGCTTGCAGTCACAGTGCGGCTTGCAATCACGCTCCAGCTTTGAACCACATCCAACCTCGCAAAACAATCCACCTTGGGACTATATTAGCCTTATTAGTTCCTTTCCGCGGTCTGTTGTTTTACGTGGTTGGCGATCTTACTGGTGTGTAGCGAGCACACGCTGTGTGGTACAACAACAAAGATCGGGGGGATAAAAGTCGTCTGTTAACGGTAGCCAGAACAATATTGGCTGGAATGCGATAGTTTGGCTGGAGTGACAGAGTTAGAACTGGCGTTGGGGCCAAGACAAGCCGCGCTCCAAGACACAAGTTTCCCCGGATCGTGTTGAGAATGTTTGTGGGATGGAAATGTCTACATTTCGCCATTCCAGAATCATGACAATCGTCAGCACCTGGGATGGAGAATTGGAGTTAAAGAGGTGCCGGGTTGTTGGCCGTCACGCAGGAAATAATCCATATGTTTCACTGTTTTCTGAACCGTATTCGGACGGAATAAATAATTTTCTCTGGCCTCTTACTTAGTCTTCTAGAGATATATATCTAAGACATTCAGCATAAAAGTGTTATGTTTTAAGTCTGTTAACCGTTCAAATACGGTGATATCAGAAAAATGTATCGACGTTGAAAAGTACACGTTTTTGTATCAGCAAACAACAATGAATAAGACATATAATGCAATGATTACTAATGGTGGCGTACGTCTTGGTATATACATAATGAGAACTTCATCTTCCCATGATTTGAATCTATATCTAACGCAAAAACGTCACACACTCATATGTATTCACATTCAGATCTTAGCACATCTTTCAAAGATAAAGAAATAGCACGAAACTATCCCCTGACGCTGAGTATCATGACTGTCCAATCAGCAACTCGACACCGAAAGAGAATTAGCACCAAGATTAGATAAAGAGCTTCAGAAAATAGGGCTTTAATAGGCATATCAGGGATGACTTAACATGATTCTCTCTTCGGAATGTTGGTGTCATGCTGAATACTACGTAATTCTTGGAGCAATCAGTTTTCTGTATATACCATATTGCCCTGTTTTAGTATGCTGATGGGGTAATGATATTGTTATTCAGTCTTGACTTTCTTTTACTTTTCCTCTGAATCGTTTAAAATCGTCTTTGAGCATGATGCAAAAAAAACGACAATTTTTGTCAATATAGAAATGTCTTTCTTACGACCGTAGAGACAGATAGAGACGTTTTCCAGACCGCTTAGCCTATGATCTCCAAGCAGCTGTGGGGCTTGGGTTTGTTTCTTTCTTAACGTCTATCTTGCGTACATAGTAAATGAGTATGACCCAGATAGACTACAATAGTAGCCGACACTCTACGTACATCTGTTTGAAGATTCACCAGTGACTGTACTAGCCTGGGTACCATCCCGGTTTACGTCTGCTCCTACAGTCGCTACCGACCTGCGCTAGCCCAGGTACGGTATGGGTCTGATTTCCGCCACACAGTCGGGGGTAGCGCGCGCGCCGCTTCACCCCAGCACCGCCTGCGATTGGGACTGACCCGAAAGGAAAACACTCGCCGTGAGACCCTACAACTCCTACTCAGTACTCCTGTCCATTCTGACGTTTAAAGAAAACCAGCTTCAAACTCCAACCGACATCCGACTAAAACTGAGCTTTCACAGCGGTCTGGTCTTTAGAGCTTAGCCATGCTTCTGCTGCGTTTCCGTTTCTTTCTGCTACCATGTCCGGATCCCCGGACATATGCTTGCTTTAAAGATCGATTACAAACATTCCTGAGGGAGCATAAAAAGATCACAGTTCAAGATATGGAGCAGGAAACCACTCTAAACCTAAGGGCAAGTTGGCAACATGACCATGTAACGCCACACTGCATTTAACAAGTAAAAAGGGGGAAAGAATGGTATGAAAATGGTGAAGAAGGTAGTCGGAAAGATAGAGAGCTGTCAGAAACCATTTCTTGGACAGCAGAGCTGCGTGCTTAGCGTGCGTTTCGACCTTGCTCTTTTGACAGGGCTCTCTATGGGGTTGATGTGTATGTATGGAACTAATCTTGGCCCTGTCGTCGGGCCAGATGGGAACCCCCTGTCAGGTCTACTGATGAATAAATCGGCAGATAATGCGATTAGATAAAACCAAGACGACGGTACGTGTGGAGGAGTTGCTAACATATCGAAAACGGCGGCTTGAGAAATTGGGTTAGGCTAAGGGAGAACAGCACAGAGACAGAGTGTGCACCGAGTGATGTCTTCCTTCTCCCAAGACATAAATCTTGGGGATATTTTGGTAGACCACAGGTGTAAGACTTCGTGTTCTGAGAAGTCTTTCGTCTGTCCGACTTTGGTAGCGGCCTGGGTGTAATTTTAGGCGACATGCTCTGTCCCGAGGAGAGAATGTTTGGAACGCGGGTGCCTAGCACGAACTTGGCAGTACACGGAGATGAGAAACAGCTAAAGTATACCTCGGGACCCGGGGCAAAATTCGCGCGCAGTGTTGACAAAAATATATCAAAACTACAAGACCGTGTTTCCCCAGACATACTTCAACAGTGACACATCCCTTCAGGGGACCGACACTCAGATAACACGTTACAAGGTACGGAATTGCCAGCGCGGTCTTCAATCTTTCAATCAAGAATGAAATAATCTCAAGAAATCATTCGATCAAAAGAACTCATACGAAAGAAAAACGGCTAATGAAAGATATCCGCACAGTGTTTTCCTTGAAGAATTAAAAACAAGATGGTGGCCTGGCCTACCTCAAACCCCGTGGTACGTAGCCTAGGCACTGATTTGATCGAACTCGACAACCTAGGATTTATACAAGGTCGTGAAATGTTTCTCCTCGCTTACGTTTTTGTCGGGTATTTTACGACATTTTCCATCCAAACTGCACCCGGTCCTTGTAGTGCAACCCTACATATATAGCACAAATCTAACAAAACTATTGATACATGATATTTGCCGAACTTACATGTGGATTCATCCCTCCGAGTCCCTTCTTGCCGCCGCCTTGTGAAGAAGATAAGATGCTGACCCAGATGAGGAAAGTTACCAGCTCCGTCGATATCGCCATTTTTAGACGTCAGTCGTCGATTTGGCCGCAAACAAAACGTTGATAAAGAGTTGTGGTCGACCAGCCTTCGTTTTTCTTTTCGCACGATGTGTTAGAAGATGTGGTTCAGTGTGAAACACGGTCTTCCTGCCTGCTACGTACTTCCGACACACTCTCCGGGTCTTGAATGAAGTACTGAAGACTCCGCCCAAGTTTGACACCTTTTGATTGGGTGGGACGCCCCCGGTGCACCCTGGGTAACTGTAAAGCTTCAATATTCAAGGCGCTTGTAAACCTACACGGGGATTAAAGTACCTGGGATATTTCAGTCTACCGACACAACCGAGGCTATCATGTGTTTGTTCAGCAAGTTTCTGTTAATTTGTCTGCTGGGCGAAACTTCGCCAGATCGAGATTGAATATGCCATCTACGGTACCTTCTCAAAAGCGCCACGAGGCGCTTATGTTGATTATTACACCAGGATGTCTCTGTTGATGAAAAGCGCTGAGATGCGCTTGTAATAATCACACCTGTTCATGTCACCTTGTGTTTGATACGGTTATTAAGGTGGTTTTATTTCATTATTTTATGCCAAGTATTGCGTCCCCGTTTAAACTTTGTATCGAGATTGATGACCATATGGATGCAACATACGATTGCTTCTCAAAAGTGCCGCCATGCGTCTATATCCATTACTACACCAATATCTCTTGTTACATTATTTCTCAGAAGACCGTACAATAATATAAGGCTACACATAGATCACAATATCAGTTGAAACGTGCATTATATTATTTCATTATTCATTGCAAATACTTTTTTGAGGAGAAAATTAGTTGATCATTTTCCTTTTTACTTAGATTTTAATGTTATCAAAATTCTAATTTCATTAAAATCTACCAATGACTGATGTTTATTAACAGCTGAATTAGATTAACGGCCAAGTGAACCTGTTATTTGGTGATCATATTTCTAGTACTAAATCATAGTGCTACATGTAGACCAAGATATTTTCTACTCAAATGATTCAAAAGATTTCAAAAGAGTATACGTTTGTCTTCGCAGATTTATTTAATGTTACATACACAGCACGCATCGAGTTAACTTGTTATGTAGAACCATCCCCATTGTTTAGTGGTACGACCTGCTATTTGAATACACGTGCAGCATGCTCAGGTGTGTGGAAACAGCTGTAAAGGTGCCTGTACTGGCGGTTAAAACGGCGTGGGGCCTCATTTCTGGTGAAGAGACGGTTAGGGAAGGCTGCAGTACCCAGGAGCTAGTGTCAATGGTAAGCTTGTCCCTGTGCATGGAGGAAGAACTTAATATTTCTTTTTCGTAATTAGAATACAGCGTGTATGTATGTGTGTATGTACTTGTCTGCATCTATTGGTAGTGGTTTATTGGTTGTAGACTGTATAAAATATGAAGGTGAGGGGTAACCACGTGGCGACTTGATAGGATTCCATAGACTGACTTCAAACTTTTTCGGCTTTTCTGTTACGGATGCGAGTATATTTGCTCTGAAAGGGATACATCTCGATACTGGAATGGAACGTTTTTATTACCATGTTAACTACAAAAATAAGGAGTAACAGTTGAATAGCATGTAACGGCAGAGCATTCGGCTCAGAACCAACAGGTCCCGAGTTCGAGTCCTGACAAGTCACCAACCTTGTGCCCTTTAATACCCACTTAATACGACTTTCCTCACTTCGCTCAAGTGAAAATGAATATGCCAGAATAATCATCATGATCGTGGGATTCCAAGAAAAAAAAACAAGCAAAACCACGTTTCTTTACACATGTTGATTTTTTTCCTGTACAGCATCATGGCGTCCATTCAAAGCTTGCTTATCCTGGTGTCTACATTTGTCATCCCTCTCGCCGAGGGCTCGCATTTCCGAGGGGGAACCATCTCTTGGCTGCCTCTGGACGCTCCTTCCGAAACTTCCGTAAGTTTGACCAAGGACATTCTACAGCTTCTTGGTTTGACAGATTCCTCAAAAAACAAATCTCAGCCGTGTGTCTATCCATTTGAGTTCATGGAGTATTTTTGGCAACGCCTGTGAGGCGGAGGTATTTTTAGGATACAAATGACTTTATCGTGTTGTGCCACATAGGCCGTTTTTAGGTTCAACCTTGGCTGGAAGAAGACGAGTGCGACCGGAACCGGATGTGACACAGCTGCTCTCCAGGGTCAAACCCTTGTCACGACCAATGAGGACCCCTGGGAGTGCGTGTCCGGATGTGCGTCATCCGGTACCGTCTTTTTGGCCAATCAGGTGAGAGAATGGTTGTACATTGGTGGTTTCCGGTAAGTTAAAAATGGTGGCAGCGGTGGGATGTTTCTAATGAACAAGGTTGGGAGTTTATATATAAAACGGTTATATTCAGACAACTCATTCATGCAAGATGATAACGTTAACTTACGATAATAAAACGGCAATCAATACTGCCTAGTGGATATGAATGTGTCGATTTTATTTTTCAGGACTACTACTGTACCGAATTCAACGTAGGTCAAAACTGGGCAAAGGCTTTCAACTCCTTCGCTCACGATTTTAGATCCACAGAGGACACATACGTCGTTGGGTAATGTTTCTTTTGTACTAATTAGAATGGCAATCCTCCCGTTTTGTCAACGCTACGTTAACGCCTGCGAAATCTTTGCGTCCAGGCCTCTGGTCTTGACGGTGTACGTATCTTTTGAGATAATTCATGGAGTTCAGATTGATGTCGCCGGGTGTCGCCCCTTACCGTGTGCAACGCTGTACTTTTTTCCCCACAGCTATGAAAGTTGCTGCTGGCTGCAGATCCAGAATCAGCAGACGGGAGTCTTTCACAACCCCCTGATTTCCTTGAGGACGACTGTAGACCTCGGGTTCAGGTCAGACACCGGCAAAGGCAACCACGCTCCAGCCACCAGCATGCAAACAACCATTCGGTGAGCCGCCGCAGCCTTTCCGTTATTACACATGCGTAATCTGGTAACTTCGAATAGCTTTTCGGTACGTTTGCGTCAGAAGTGACAGTAGGAATCAAAGAGGGCCTGTATGCCCTTTTTCGTAAGTCGTAATCAGGGCTTTATAATCTTCATAAACCTTAGGCAGCAGCCAAAAATAAACTTGATTCGTAACTAGTACTTTAGCTGGAACACGTAATTATTCGTATAGCGTAGTCAGCCGAGAATTTAACGTAATTCGTAACCGGGGAAGAAAATTTTGCGTATTTCATAATCATTACCCCCATGCAGGCCCTCGTCACTGACAAATATGGTGATACAAGAGCAGAATCTAGAACGCCCTTAACACAGCCTTCGGGTCATAATAGTCAGATAGCAGAAAGCGTTACTGTTGAGAATGTACGACTTTTACTCGTAAATAATACTTAAATTTTGGCTTCTCTCAGTGTCACAAACGGGTGCTTGGCACCGGACTACCCCGCGGGCAAGCTGGCTGTGGCGGACATCGACGGAGACACGGTGAAATGCCGCTTCGCTCAGGGAGCGACGGAGTGCGGCGAGGCGTGTGACCAGTTCCCCGGCCTGGTACTGAACGAGGTACGGTGACTCGGTCATAATCATCCTCATACTTTATACGTCAGATGGATATTACAGCGACTTGCGGTCACAGAAGTATTTGTAATCCCCCCTTTATATTCTTAGATATCGTTTTTATGAAAGTACTTAGCTTCTTTTTCTCTAGGAATTCTATGAAATTAAAACATTTCAACTGATGTAAACGTCGCGACTAAGACGGTATTTCACCTAATGTTTAACCAAATCGTGTATTCTACCTGCACAAATGATAATGTGTAGTCGAGTATATGGGCGACAGCTGTATCTGTATATGCCGGTATACCTACGTCCTTTTATTCTTCTATCCTATCCTATTTACTTAATGTTAATCGGTATGATACACGAGTAACATCATACTGATGTAGGCATTTAGCCCCATAGGCATGAACATGCAAATAAAGATTCATTGATTGCCGATTCATTGATAATGGCCTTTCAGGACTGCTCGTACTCGTACAACGGCCCGGCCTCCATCACCATCAGTTCGGGGACTTCTCTGTTCTTCGTGGTTGCCGTCATGGTTGAAGACTTCCCCGTACAGACCATCTTCCGTCATAACCAGGAAGTCCCGACAACACAAGCCCTCAGCAGCGTACCCCTCCAGTTCCTGATAGAAGGTAACCATCTGTATAATATGACAACCTTGTTAGATCGTGAGACCTTATAGGCCGATTCAGAATGTCCATCACAATTAGAAGTTTAACCAGTGAGTGACTGCATTTCCGTCAAATATTTGCATTTGGATGTTTTGACCGAGGTGGGTGGGGCTTCAGGATCGGTCTATTGATAGTAGCTGCATTTTCAGTTTGAACAGCTAGTTTTGCTTCGATTCTCACAACCGGAGATGCTTTGTGTACGAAGTCAGAAGGACCATAGATAATACAATGTTGGCTTGACATGCTGTTGATTGTTGGTTAAAATACAATCATTCTCGCGAGACTTAATCCCGCGAGATTTGTGACAAGCATTCTCGCGATAGCGACTAGCCTAGCCTAGCCTAGCCGAGTTTTATCATAGTAGATGTATTTAACGTATAACGTTGCATTTATATGTACATTCTAGTCAAAAATGACCCTGGTGTCCTCTGCGGCTCGGAGCCCATACTGACCGGTGCCACCCCGGCCCAGGACACCTGCCTGCCCATCCCGGACAGTGTCGAGTACACCATGACTGTCGAGGCTCAGCCTGTAGCACCTGCCACGTAAGACTTGAACTAAGAACTTCTTCATGAACTATGGACGCCATTTTTGTTCCCCCCTCGTTTTCGTAAATGTTGTCAACGTATTTTGTAGAGAAATTTGAAATCGCATCAGAATGATTTTCTATAAATATGACTATCATAGACGCAACGCATTATTCCAGTTTAGTTGTTTGATAGATTCTTTATCTAAAGTTTTCAAACCATTACGTACTTCACCTTGCTGTTCACATAACTATAGCTACACTTGTAATTTTCAATAATCATTTTCAGTATTTTCTATAGGATAGGTAAGAAGGAAAAAAATCTGAAGGTACATATAGTATGTTTCACGGTAATGAAACATACGCCAAAAAGGTTGCTTAAGCAACTGGATACGATTTTGGAAACGGTCAGACCGTCAGACGTTTCGGGCAGCATCCACTACCTTTCGTCAGTGTTTATCTAGCTGCTTACAGTAACTGTTTTTGGCGTATTACCGACGTAGTAAGGAAACAACTTTGTTGTTCATCAGCCTTGCAGAGATTAATGTTCTCGGACCAAAGGGCATGACGAAGAGCGCCCTGACCGTCACTGGTGACATCTCATCCACAACCATCACGTGGACGCCGGCGCCCGGTCAGCGCGGACCCCACATCGTCTGTTTCTACGCCGAGGACTCCAACGCAGTGCAGTCGGACAGGACATGCGTCTCTCTCATGGTCGGAGGTACTGTGCTCATCGTTGCTTACCTAGCCCCCTCAAAAATAGTTTTCACTCTCGTTGACAAAAACGTAGATCAAGAGGCTTCAAAAGTGGAAGCAATTCTATGGTAATCATTGCTGACAAGTGTGCGCTAACGTTTTCGTTAAACCTCTAAGTTTACTGAAATTGGTAACAGATGAGTTCTGGAGCTTCGGATAAGACTTCATGCTATAATTTACGATTCCTTCCACCATGGCAAAGTTTAGTTAAAGTTTAGTTTCTTGAAACAGCTACTCGAAACTGGAGATTGTAATCTGCAGCTAGGTTCAGAAACAACATGTCCTGTTGAGGTTTGACGTTGTTTTTTTTCCTGTTAGGGAGCATCACCCCGCCTGCTGTCGATGCCCCCACGCTGATCCCTACACCCGGCACGGCCCCGACAGACTATCCCTGTGACACGACCCTCCGGTTCAGCGCCACGTTCGACCAGCTGGTAAGTACCTACCAGGAAAACACGCACACAAACGTCTCAGGGATTTGTGACGTCACGAGTGGTCAAAGGTGCCCAGAAGTCGATACCTGCCATCGTCTATAGGACAAAGGCTACCATTACGAGCAGGCGCAGAAGGTCCATTTTGCATGATCCAAACCAACTGTAAACAGCCTTTTTTTTGCATATCTTGCAAATCAGACTTGCTACTAGTAATTGCTGGCATTTTGGAGCTGGAGGGTTTGTGCCGATTCAAAAATAAGAATTTTGGGCTAAATATGGACAACTTGGATGCCGAGGTTCCCTGTCAATGTGAGTTGTCAATAGTTGAACACTCAAGTAGGTGATTTTTGACAGATCGTTTCTTAGATGTTTACCATATATTTTAATGGGAGCTCGAAATGGTGTGCTTCACTGATAACATCGGAAACTTATTTTCTCCTAAGGTTCTACCGCCGACTTCTGACACCTTCATCATCTTCTACGACTCCACCAACGCGGAGTTCTACAAACACAACACGAAGATTCCCGACGGGCAGCCCGCGCCGGCCCAGTCCAACACCTACGTTTTCGACGTGCCGGCCAACACCTTCCAGCCGCTGGGCACCTACACCATAGCCATGCAGACGGGCGCGCTGGAGGGGGTGACGGGGTGCGGGGCCGGGGCCGGCGTGCAGAGCGACGCGTACGAGACCGCCGGAGGCACCTGGAGTTTCACCTGCAAGTTCTACGTCCCCGCGCCGGTCACCACCGCCCCGCCTGGTAAGTTTTCCTTCCTTCCAATTCCCTCCTACCAATTGTACAAGGTTCTACCTTTTCGCCCCTTCCGAATTACCAACTGTACAAGATTCTTCCTGCTCGTACTCTTTAAGCAGAGGTTGGTGAGGAAGATACCTTTCGTATATTGCCGCCTTTTTTTCTGTCGCTACCCCCACCCCAACAGCTGACAGGAAAAAACGGGGCATACTTTGAAACGTAACAATCTTGCCTCCAACCTCTGCTTGGAGGGTACCTCTTCGCCCGTCCGCACGGTGAATCCCGACAGTGTGCATTGTACTGGTAACACCGAAGATTGGCCACCTCTCACTTTGTTCCTTCTCCCAACTGACAGCTCCACCTCCAGCGACCACGGCAGCGGCACCCAGCGCGACAGTGCGGGTCGTCGGCACGCCAGCCCCGGGCGCGCTCCCCACCATGCCCGTCACCGCTATCGTGGTAACCTGTTCTCCTACCAGCATCACGGTACGTCATGGCGGCAGCAACTGAGCTGTCGTTTCCACTCTCCTTGCCACATTTCAGATTTCTTCGGACGTCATTTTTTCCAGTCATAGACTCGCTTTACTCTAAAGTTTAAAGAAAGTTACTGATCAGCATAATTCGTCTACATATAGTGCGATTGCAGTACGTACAAAAACCACCTGTTGAACTTTGAATGTACTGGGACGGGACGGGACGGGATGTCATCTCCAAATTTTTCCATGAATGTACATCTTTTCTTTTCAGGTTACAATTCCGTTGTCTGAGATTACCGGCGTGAACGCAGCTGATATCCGGTACCGGAGTGCTCCATGTTTACCGGTGGTCTCCGGAGACTCCGTCAGCATCACTACCGGATTTCAGGAGTGTGGCACTACCATGACGGTACGTCAGGAGGCGCTTCTGTAACACGTACAGAAAGTCGAACGGATCTACTGTAATAAAAACCCTCTTGGCAGTGGTCTTACTGGTTTACTTAATCTGAAAATATTTAATTCGCTTCTAGATAGAAATCTAAACTCGTGACCTTCTCAAATTTGTTTTTGTTCTGTCCTTTCATATTAGACCCAGGGAGACGAGCTTGTATACGAGAATGAGATCCATACAGAGTTTGCAAGCACCGCCATCCGAGGCAACAGTGTGGATGGTAAGCAAACTTGTCATTGGTTTTAAGATGCATTTCTACCCCCTGAAATACATGTATAAACTGTACCAATACTCTTAAATGAAATAAAGCGGATTGAAATAATTCCTTTGAAAACGTTTTTACTCCGTGAAGGTATGCCTCCTGCAGGGGTATTGTGGCCAGTTGGCCATGGTTTTTAGCGTTCGCAGGTATAAAACACACGGTTCCCTTTGTTTAATCGGCATGTAATTTTACACGTCGTCTGTCAGGCATGCCCATGATGCCCGTATTGTTTTTACAGTAACTGTTTTTGTGGTCAAATGTAATATTTCAGAAGCACCCCTACATTTAACAGTTTTTTTGGACTTGCCGCAAATAAACCGTTGTTTTGTACAGGAAAGGTTGAGTGTGCGTACGACAGTAACACGGTGGTGACCGGGAAACGGTTCAGCGCGCTGATGGGGTCCGTATTCGGCAGGAGGAGCAGCGGCCAGTTCGAGTTCTCCTTCGACTTCTACACCGACAACACCTTCAGGTGAGTATACAAGGTCAAGGAACACATGTCAACCTACAAAACAGATAGGAAAACAAGTTTGCTTTGTGAAAATGTAAAAAAAAAAAAGGAAACTCTCAATAAGGCTTCTTCAACCATTAAAACTTCACTCGACCGTCGTGCACGTGCGCATTCGAGGGTAAAGTGAATTCAAAAGTATGGGTAAGCTATATCATACTGATAGACCTTCTCTATATTTGATAACAGGTTTGCGATTGCAAAACCTATTCTGTTTGGTGTCGATCGACAGGATTGTTTTGACTTTGACATTTATGTTTGGGAATCCAGCACGGCCTTCACCAGCTATCCCGTGTCCTACCATCCTAACCAAGAGATGTTCATCGGCGTCCACCTAGTCTCGACCAACACGGACCTCGTGCTTTTTGCGGACAACTGCAAGGCGACACCCGGAGTCGAGTGGGACAGCTCGCCCAGTTACACCATCCGCGAGAACGGGTACGTAACTCCGGGTCAGTTTGACCAAGTGGTGACAGTTCCCCAGCAATACGTTTGACGGCGTTCGCTCACAATAATAAGATCAGGCTCAACGGACCAATATAATTCACGTCCTCCACTTTTGCATGTACTTAGGTGATTGATTCTAGATCTACTAGCACAGCTAGGTATACGCACTTTTTTCGGTTAAACATCAGGTTAGGGGCCATGTGAACACTTTACTGTAAAATCGTTGACTAAATGTTGTATTTCGTTTCTCCGTTCAGCTGTAACGTAGACCCTCTCCTGACCTGGTACGAACCGGCGGACGCTGCCCGAGCTGCACGGGAGGAGAACTTCGGCATCGTGGTGTTCCGCTTTGCGGACTACTCAACGGTACGTTCTGTTTGCCATGTAGCGAAGTGACTTTGCAACATGTGGCGAAACGAGTAGCGAAACGACCTGTAAGCTCACAAGTTATAGTAAGTAGTTTCATTGATTCCTAAACGTTCTTGCATCTGGACAAACACAACTGTGCAGTTGGGAAAACTGTTTACAAAGTTAAAACCAAGTACGAAATGTAAGACGTAATATATCCAAGAAATTGATGCTAAATGTTGCATCTTTGGAGATACCCTTTTCTGTCTCGTACGAGACTTACAACATTGACCGTAATCTGTCCTATTTTCTACAACAGTTGTATATCCACTGTGACGTGGTGGTGTGTGCGGCAGCCGATACCAGCTCGTACTGCGCCACCGCGCCCGCGAGCTGCGGCACGGGTAGGAAGAGGCGAGACGCGGACGTGATGGACAAACTGCACCGCTTCGAGGTGACCAGCGGCCCGGTCAAGATCATCAGGGACGACGGAGGACATAATAACAACCGTCAAGGTAACTACGTAGTCTTTTACGCCTCAAAAGTTTCTGAAGCAACTGTGGATATACACCTGGACGCACGTAGTTGTGTACCCAGCGATACACACAAGTACCGCACAAGGTAGTAACACTCTGTACGACACTATTATTGTTTGTGCAAGCCATGTAAGATATTCAGCGGGTAGTCATTATTTCCAGGGTACTATAGTACACAGTACATTACCATACATTGTCAGTGCTGCTACTACATATATAGGACTGGAGAGAATCAAATCAGTACATGTAAAATCTACCATCTCTCATCGCCTTGTTTATTTACTTCTCTAAATCCAGCCCATGGCGACTGGAAAGAGGCGTTTTCGGCGGTTGTGTCCCCTCCCGTGCTCGGGGTCCTGATGGTGTGCCTCGGGGTGATCTTCCTGTCGGCGGCGGTGTCCTGTTACTACCTGCGCCGCTACCAGCAGCTCTACACCACGGTGTTCGAGACCGACCACTTAAAGCCGTCTATACTCTCATAGACACTAAAGTATCGTTGTACACTCTGCCAACAAACAACTTCGTATTGTCATGAGTTGGCTGTACTAGCGGTGGAAATTAATTGAAATATTATAAGAAATTTAATACAAAGGCTCCTTCGTCTATGACTTTGTGATGAACGTCCAAAGATTCATATATTGAAAGATTTACATGTACTTGTGACAAGATCATATGCATATCAATAAATGGGCAAAGAAATCGATCCATTTTTGTTTATTTACTTGTAACTCTGAGATGTATTAGTGAGCGTGTATATGTGGTGTGTGCATGGGCTAGTCCGTTCAGAAGGTTGAGGGCAATAGTCCTTTTCTAAGGACATGTAATCATACAGAAATTTGCACAAGACCCCCCTCCACCATCAAACGGATTCTATGTTTTACTTCACAAAACCAATATTACTTTTAGTGATGGTATGTGACAACCTCCAAAACGTTTTCATGTATCTGGTAACCCGTCATGAAGTTTCATTACTAGGAACGAACGACAGAAATTGAAAACTTAAAGATCTAAAATTGAAGAGAAACAACACCTCCAATAACCGTTTTATTTGCCTCAGCCTCGGTCATGAGAATGGGAAGTCATTTCAACATGTGCGACAAGCATGCCTCCATTGCAACCCGTCACTACAACACTTGGAAAAATATTTTTTGTATCAAACGTTAATGAGCCATTTGAATGACATTCGACAAAAGCGCCGTTGATATAACTTTGCACTTTCATACACATGAGACATCTAGTACAGGTACAAGACTACATGTTTTCGGAACGTTGAATATCGGGTGTTGACTATATTGCAAAGTCTAACCAAGACTTTAACCAACATCATGTCTCCCGACATCACGTTTTCTGAAAGTCACTTGACTTGAAGGTGGGTCAGAATACCTGACGAAGACTGAAGAATTGGTCGACCAAGTTTTATTTCTGTCCGTGATTTTTTTCAAGACTTCATATTGCTTAACATCAGATCATAAAGTTGGCAAATTGGAATTATCACTCGCAACAGAAGTTGTAGTCCGTGGGATCGTCCGGAATGGGCGGTGGCTGGTTGGGCACGGGGATTCCCTCTGTGTCCAGCAGGGCCAACTTCATCTCCATCCCCAGAAGGATCTCCATGTCCTTCTGCGCAAGCTCTGACGTCATTTCCTGTTCGAGAAGCGCCCTGATCCCGTCTGTCCACAGGTCGTACACGTAGTCATTTGGCGCCAAAAAGTTCAAAGACGCATCGGGGTCGTACAGGACTGAAAAGGCCAGCGGCGCTAAGCTCTCTTTCTTCTCCTTCTTCCCTTCCTTCATGATATGCGGACACTCCTTACCAACGGCCAGCCCCTTGATGTCGGAAACAGGTAGCATCTCCGGCAGCATTTCTACAGGAAGTGGCGGTTTTGCTGAGTCGGGGACGTCGCCCCAGTGTAGGCACTTGTGGTTAGGCGCTAGGCGGCAGTACCAAAACTTGTCCTTGGACCTTCTAGTCGTCACCTTGTTGAAGATGGTCCCTTCGACCAAGGCGTTGAGACGATGTTTTCTGACCAAGTCTAATACCTGGACAAAAAAAAGACGTTAAAGTCACCAAAAAACCACGCACTCGACAGTAAATGCACACGCCCCAGAGGCGCCCCCAAAAACGATGCCGAAATGATGTCGCCAAGAGAATGCATTTTATGTGCCATTTTGAGTAGATGCTGCAGCAACCCTGTTCTATGGCAGTAGTGAACCGCCCCCGGCCCGTTCAACATGAGATGGCACAGCAGTTCATTCATTAAAGGCCTGTCAGGCAGAACCAGTGCCACTGATGGATTTATCAAAGTGACAAAAGCAAAGGTCAGGCTCTCAAAAAGAATTGTCCCGACCCGGTGGACCACGATGTCGATCTAATTTTTCAGCTTCTTCTTTTGTTGTAACCGTCTACTAATGCGACCTGAATACATAATTACTAAGAAACGAGGCACGGTGGAAAAGAGGAGAAAATGACTTCCATCGATTTTTGTCGGTAGAACAATTTGTTGTTACGTGCCGAGCGTTTCATACTGTTTGTATCACATTTGATCACAAAATTTAACATGAAATACAAAGCGATGGCAAGTCATATCTTAGCATTCGTATTGTATATTAGAGAAGACCAGTTTCAATATCTCAAAAATATGATACCCGACGATTTTAATTCAAATCTTATCTCTAAGCGACACTTGATTTCCGTATGGTAAATCTGATATAACGACGGAACATGAGCCGCGTTTTAATGGTCTTCAGCAATATGACTTCGTTACAGGTTCCTATTACTATCATCATCATAAAAACATAACGTTAAGCATCGTACTTTATAATACAATGAAATCTGTCCAAGTCGGCTGCGTAGGGGACCGAAGAAAAGTGGTCACCTTGGACAGGTGGTCACCTTTTGAAGAGGGTCGCCTCGCAATATGACAGACACAAATTTTAGTCGAGATATTTTAATGTCAAATGCTGTAAGTATCTTCAGTTTTGTGGTGACTGCATGCATGTGGGGAGGGTGGCACATGGCACAATTTATGTCAAACAAAAACATCATCCAGCAGCAGTCAAGGCAAACTGGCTGGTTTCTCCATGATTTCGCATGTTTAGTTATCATCAATAATGGGCACCAGCGACATTAGGGAGTGGGCGGAAACTGCGGAGGATGGCACCCAGGCTACCTCCTCCTTTGACACCCTCATACGCACATACCTCTGGCCGCTTGTCCTCCCGAAGCTCACAGAAAGGTTCCAGATCCGTGTTCGTCTCCAACATGGAGGCTCTCCTGTCCTGGAGGATCTTGATGATCTGGTGATAGTCCAGCTCCTGTAAGATGGCCCGGAAGCGGTCCATGGTGTCAGGTTTTTCTGACAGTGCCAGTGTCATCTGCTCTCTCACCACGTCCATAACCTGCGAGACACACGTGGAAGAAACCGCAGTGGGTTTAAATTTATTTTTCCCATCGTACGAATGATCGATGTGTACACCTATCAATGCAAACCCTTGCGTAGGGCTGGAAGCATACGATGCAATCTACCTGCTAGATTCTAACCACTTTAGAGTTTTAAAGGAAGATATTCCCAGCGGTATAATGAATAAACACAGGCATTTCGAGATGCTTTATCCTACGTTAGAGAGCCAAATTCGGTAGCAGAAATTCTTACAGTAGCCTCGAGCGGCCTCCATGCTACATTTACGATCATTCGGATTTGGAGAGCTGGCCCCTTGCTTTGAAGATTTACTACGATAAGTGCTGAGAGGAGTAAATACGGTTTGTCAGAAATGTGCTTTTGTTGTCGGCCATACAAAGAACTTCTCTGGAGTGCTTTTGTTACGATTGCCTTGTGAGTCCTCACTCAAAGAACTCGAGAAGACTCGAGATGAGAGCACGAGAAGAAAAGAGCGATGGGACGCCGGAGGGTCGATTGACAAGGACAACAGAGAGGCATTAACGGTATTATCTCTAAACGAATAGTCGCTAGACGGTTAGTATAAAGACACACTGGAGTTGATTCGATTTGAGGGTCTTCAAGTACATACAGATATTTATTTTGTGAAGAACAATTTCTGTGTTTTTGCAGTTAATTCTGTCCTAAGTTGATACGAAAATGCCTTTACACATACAGATTTTCATATTTTGGCTGACAGCTTCAGCTTACATCTGCAAAAGAATATCTATCTGATACGTACATGTATAGCACCTATGATGCTAAATATTTGTATCATTCTGCTTTGTTGTAATTTGTTCATTATAATGTTCAACGTCGTCCTGTCATAGTCTTCATCCATAGCGCGCATCTCTCTCCAGGTCTTGTTCAGCAGCTGGATGCAGATACAGAATAACTCCTCTAGGGGGCTCTCCTGGGTGAACAGCATGGGGTAATACTCCGTTCCCGTCTCGGAGGGGAGTTCTCCGATCTTAAGCATCTTGCACAGCAGTTTGGTCATATCAATGGACGTCCGTGCGAACGGACACACGTAGTTGTCCTGCCTACACGAGTTCTCCAACACAAGCCTGGTAAACGAGTCCGGATAATTCGCGGCGAAGTAGACTATACAATCCAACGCAAGGACCCCTGGCGGTCTCTTTGTGAAGTCCATCAACGGATTGGCGAGATTCGAGAATCCCAGTTTCTTGAACTCGAGTTGCGCTCTGTCGGAGACGCCTCGGCCTTTCCTCGCCTGTGTTCGTGCGTTTCCGCCAGGGTTCGATGAGGAGCCGAACGCTTCCGAATCGCTGTCTCTTCCGAAGGCGATGTGGGAGAGTTCGTACAGCTTCTCCAAGTGTGCGGTGTCGCTCGGGTTGATCTTGGTGTACATCCGGTCCTCGTTCAGGTTCATCATGAGGACCTGAAGCACGTGGAGCTGGTGAGCCATTTCCGAGGACACCTCCCGTCTGCCTCTGATGATGTAGTTCAGCATGACCGCTCGGATGTACTTGAACTGTAGCGTCTCACCGATCTCTCGGGCCTTGACTTTGGAGGACCTAGAGACATATATGGTAAAGAAAAAAAATCAAAGAGGTCATCCTAAATTGAGGACGCATGGTGTTTTTTATGTTTACCGAAGGAATTGTTTCAATTCCTCTTCTTTCGTTCCAAACACTGACCTCTGACCTGGTCAATGACCTGATTTGTTGACGTCTCTCACCATGGTAACTGACTAATGTTGGGTTACATAATGTTGCAATTTTATAGTAGGAGGGATTTATACTCCTGTCTGACCATATGTATGAATGTATTTGAGTAAGAATTAACAGAGCAGACCATATGTGAAGATAAACATTAAGCATTTGCTTTATTTGCAAATGTTGCCTGTCTAGTTTAAAGTATAGTTCTTAGTACATGCAGTAGAGAATTGTGTATTCACTACGGCTTGCGCTTTCAGCTAAGTACTCCCAGGTCATTAGTAGTTTTGACCAGGTCATACCTTCTCTTCCCAATAAGTGTGTTTGAGTTTGAGTTTTAATGGTTTGACGCATGAAGCTCCCCATATACGTAGCCGAAGGCTTAACGCCCTCTTTCTAGAGCTAAGAACGATCTGGTCCCTTAACTGCATGTATAGTCCCTTCTAGTAGAGTCCACATCAGTGTATCTCAAATTACACACGTGGAAATATTTGAAGAAATAACGATATACTGTAACTGGATAATGGACCTAGTACTAGTCACCCCAACTGCAAAACACCGTAAATCATGATACGATACAAGCCATATACATAGTAACAACCAACGACTGATTTCTCTCAGCCCACGTACAGGTCTGAAGTTCAATGCCACTCAGATTGAATAGAAATAGCCTGTTCTGTATGAAATAATACTCCTCTCCAGAAATCTACTTTGTCTAAAACTGGTTCTGCGAAACGTCGTGACATTTCAACAAAAGGTCCCAGAAAAGGCCTCGCGTTAAAAGATCTTAGGCTTATAAACGCCCCTCTCTCACTTTGCAGTCCGACAACCTTTACCAAAATCCCTTCCTGGGCGATTTTCTTATCTCTAAGGCTTAACAGTGCCTCCAGCTGCCCCACACTGAGTACCGGTTATTTCAACAACGGTGATCCCTGGCGTCATCATTACCATGGTTACCATCGTTACCATGGTAACGGCTGTGTTACTGACAGGAGCCGAGGTCCTTACCTGAGCCACAGGGCGTTAATGAGAGCCACGGCATTCAGCTGGACCTCCGGGACAGGGCTCTTAAAGTGCAGGGTAATCTCCTCCACTGTGATCTGCGCGGAAATCGCTACAATACAAAACGTACAGAAAACCATTAGAAGGGAGCTGAAGGCTTTTCTTTTGTTTTACGCAAGATGTACATGTTTGCGACAGCCCCGAGTGTGGATTTGTATGGTGATGGGTTGGATATGGGTTTGGTACATTCGAACAACGGTTACATGGGTTGCTATTGCAAACGTTAACTTGATCTTTGCGCTTGATAATTCATCCATCCATCCATCCATCCATCCATCCATCCATCCATCCATCCATCCATCCATCCATCCATCCATCCATCCATCCATCCATCCATCCATGCATGCATGCATCCATCCATCTATCCATCCATCCATCCATCCATCCATTCATTCATTCGTTCAATCATCCCTTTTAATCGTAATCGGTTTTAATTGCATCTTTCTCCTCCTTTCGATGACACATACCTTTGTAGAGATCTTCGCTACTTAATATAGCACATTCCAAGATAGCGAGAGATCGTTGCAGAATCATAGCCTCGGCCGGGGTGCTTCTTAGGACGTACCCGATGATCTTCCGTATAAAGTCGTCGCTGAATTGCTTCCAGGGAAGGATGCCGTGGTCCATGAACTGCAGAAAGGCTGTCAGTATGTAAGCTAATGCCTCTCCCGTAGCTGTGCCCTCTACCACCATGTCAACTAACAAGGGCACGCCATTGCGGTACACGAATTCCGTGGCGAATGTCGTGTCAGACGAACCGCGCGCTAGCTTCATCAAGGCGTCTTTGGTCGGCAGGACGAGGATTTCTCGGACCGTCTTGGACGGGGAAGTCGTCAGGCGCAAGATGGCGCCGTTCTTAATCTCCGCGCGGTTCTTTTCCGTGATGTACGCCTGGGAGCCGTCCGAATACTGCAGGGCGTACTCCTCCGGGCTCTCCAGGCCCCAGTGATCGCACAGCTTAGCGATGATGTCCGGTAACGGCCTCCGTTGGTTGAAGTCCAAGAACTGGGCCACCCGACCGGGCATCTCCACAGCCAGCTTGACGATATCCTTGGAAACCGGCATGTCGTCTCTTGAACTAGACTTTACCCCGTCTTCCTGCAACACTTCCTGCCTCCCATGTGTTTCTGGAAGATATGAGGAGGAAATTTCAAAACAAGACGTCACAAAGTCAACTACCGTGAGAAGCAGACAGACACTACCAGTCCCTAACTAGATAACAGCAAGAACCGAAAATGTACCCACCTACCGTGTGTGTTAATAGTACATGGAAGCATATGCGGGTTTTGAACCTGGTATAATTGGGGGCATTCTCAGAAATGGCTTCCCATGAATAAAGGCCGTGGGTTCCATCCACAAAAAGACACACCGGGGGCCAGAAGTGAATATTCAAGGCTATTCTCAGAGGCATGACGCCCGGAGCAGCCTCTTTGAAGACTGACGCCCCTCCTAGCACTAGTCTCAGTGGAGTTAAAAAACGAGCACGCCAGACAGTGTGTCGTGTATAGATGAGTATGATTTGGTATAGAGGCACCAGAATGTATGATGATCATGATGTATTTTGCATATATGTTTTATGGCCTTGAACGACTTTTAGGGATAGTTTTTCAAGTACCATTCAAGGAAAGGAGAATAATGCTTACTTGTACTAAGTTATAGATGTATTGTCGTTATTTTTAGAAATAATAAAAGAAAAAGATCGACAACCTCGATACAATCAGGACGTACTGGGATATTATCACGTTTCCCGGAGTGTATAAATTGCCCGTATGCGGGGGAGGGTAGTAGTATTTGACTTTCAGCTGCTGCAATCATGTAATGGCGCTGTGCATTTGATGACTGCAAACATGCCGTCATTTGGCTATGATCAATGACAAACCCTTCCAACAACCATTAGTGGTTTGTCCCTTAATAAGTTAGGCAGGTCCTAATTAAACCCGCACTCCATAAATTAAATATAGTGGATTGTCCCTCCCGAAAACATCACCGTAAAACTGACTTACTCATAGCCATACCGTAAAAACGTACGACGTATGTGTGTAAAACGCATTACCGTTAGGCCCGGGTTGACTAACATGTTTCACCGCCAATCGACTGAGGCAAGTCTCTGATTATCACGTTCTGAAAGAGTCTGAACGATTTTCACTTACAGTCGCCACGTTTAGGATTTAATCTTTTCCCCGTATCGTACAGTGATGGACACCTTTGTATGGAACTGGCGCCAAAGGAAAGATGGTGGCTACCCCCGATATGCCAGAAAAATGAAAATAAATCGTTCTTTTTCTCTGTCCACATTTCTGTATCGGTTAGAGGAAAATGTATTGTTTTTATTATAGATCGGGTGACCTCAAAACGCCTTCAACCAAACAGCTTGCACAGATGGCCTTTTCGCTGGATCAAAAATTCATCCAAAAAGGCGATCTCTATCAAGAAACGATTTGTGGTGTCTCCTTACACGGGCAGTCGGGGTGCGGGACACGCACAGCTTAATAGCCTCGAACCCAGACTGCTTCTAGGGCATACATTTTGGCAAGCTCCTCGGCTCAAGGCCCTCCCAATGAAATTTTACTTCATCTTCCTCAGGGGGCTGAACGGAGGCAATACTTCCGTGGATCATTGAGTATGCTGGCCATATAGCCGATGAGCTAGCCTATGAAGGACCTTGGAGCAGTCTGGTTCTCCAAGCTAACAGAAATCGGCGTTGCGACATCTGGACCACCCGAGTTGCGGCTATCAAAACTGAGATATCTTCATTTGCAGCAAATAACGTGGTATGTTTCTTACGTCTATCAAATAACCGGCAGTGGGCCATATATTAAACTTTATGAAGCTCATCTGAGGGCTAGAAAAAAATGCAATTCCAACTAAGATCAGTAGCAGTTTGTGCCTAAAAGATCACTGAGAAGTGTCCCGTCAAAAATCAACCACAAACGTTTGAACGTACATTCCTGTAAGCACTGTCACATTACTTGGAATCCGTGTCATTACCGAATGATTAACTGTTTCACATTTCCCTGCAGAATATATACATTACCGGGCGCCGTCGCTGCCAGCGGTAATTTAGCTTGCCTGTAGTTATATTAAACAATAAAAGGGCACTGTCTGTACCGTAGTTAGCTTATACACCATTAACAGCAGAAGTGATATATTGATGCAGACGTTGTTTAAGGCTCAGAGGACACCCTGTGTTGTCCTCTGGGCTCACATGTATATTCTGAGCACGACTTAGTTTCCTTGATGATGTTTAGTAAACCTTGATGAAAATTCTCAAATTTCTTTTCTCCGGTGTTAGTTTACTCTCTATAATTTTGGGGTGTAATCCCGCTATAGATAGTACTCTTATCCTATAAATAGTACTCTATAAAACGCTAACATGCTTGGCCATAGGTGCACTGGGACGTATCACTGCACTGCCTATATGTAAACAAATAGACAAGAGAATACCCATTTACCTTTAGTGCTCGTCCTGTTGTATCAGCAATGGAAAGATCAAGTCATAATATTTTCCCCTTCCTTCTCAGACAATGCCGGAAGGACGCGTTTCCTGAAATAACAAGACCTTTGCATGTAGGATGCTACGAGGAAAAAGCTCACTTGCGTACAAAAGATTTCCTGTCGTCTCATATTATATGCCCAAATCGCACACATGTACATAACGCACTAGTATATCCTGTGCTGAAAACCTAACCCTTGGTTAGTACCGATACACTACTAGTACCTCTATAAACAGAGCGGGGTTACGATTATGGCCTGAAAGTTCTGTATGCCTGACGATGCTGTGTTATGGTCCGGTACCGACAGCTGAGAAGCTAGGTCATCCTCAGTACGGTGCGAACAGTGGGGACGGTCCCGTACACTGCACCAAACGCCAGCCCTCGTCCTACACGACTACATCTGCTCATTCGATCAAAAACTGGCGTTACACTCTAGAACACCAGCCTACAACAAAGCCGATTACCAGAAAAACAGACGACGTACCTGGTACGGTCGAGCAACAACACAGAACAGGGCTCAGCCGCCTGGATACAACCCGTTCTCCAACTATACACAGGCGCCAACTACTAAGGATCAAGTCAGCTCGCGCGCGGAACAGTCTATGACGTGATCGGGGGTTACCGTAGTCTCGCGATGGCGGCAGGAATGTCAAACTTGCCCCGCCGGGTTGTCCGCCCGGGGCGGTCAGGAGGATTCCCTTTCGCCTCTCGCCAAATAATTTGCAGTTGTTGAAGCGGAGATAACGAGAGGTACGCCGCTGGAATTTTTGGCCCCACGCCGGTCACCATAAAACCCTCTCTTGCAGTTGAAGGTTTTAAACGGGCTACATATGCCCGGTACTTCTGGAATATCGATCGTGTTCGCTTTGGTTCGCGCCTATGCCGGTTTGACCTTATTTTGAGCCCGCTCTCCTTGTACAGGGCCCACCCCTTCTGTCGGCGCCGCTGTTATATAAAAAACTTCTGCTAAACAACTTTGATAATCAGTAACAGAATCGTAGCTGTAGCAGGCGCGTTCCAAGATGATACGGTTTGGTCAATCGTCACCCCCCGAGTCCTTCTATGAAAGCAACGCAGTTTCACAAACTGTTTTCTGTCAGAAAAAGATTATCAAACTTCACGTAAAGTGGAGAAAATATTTGAAGGTATATTAGCACCCCTCCATTCTCAATGGTTCGATCATGATCATCCCCGAGACAAGAGCTTCGGGCGGGACCGCTGTAGGACGACAAGAAAGGTCAAAGCGGTCACGGTCGTGTTTGTCAATCTTACATACTTGTCTGGAATAACATTTTGTATTACGTGTAGCTTTAGACGTGATGGAACCGTAAAACAGTAAGGGGTAGGTTCAGCCATGCCGGGGTATTTTAGGAATCTGAGCCGCATTTGGCATGTTTCTTTTTCGGGCTTGAATGTGGAAGCAGGGATCGATCAGTTAAGATACAGGGGAGGGACTGGAGAAAATTTCTTGATATAGCTTTTTTCCACGTTTGTATTAAACTACTAAAAAAAGAGAGAATTACTAAATACACTTCAGTATTTGATAGAAACATAACACCATGACTAATAGGTCAAGAAAAGGAATTCAAAGTTTCCTACTGATACACTGTACAACCTGACTTGATAAATTGGCATGATTTTTTAAAATATAGTTCAGATCTGTAGGGTACTGGTACTTGTCCAATATCCAGCTTAGTTTCCACCCCTCCCAAGTGTTAGCGGTTTGTCCCCACAATAAGAACAGTTGTCGCGGCAGTGATGTGGAGTGATGATGTGTTCCACGGTGCGTGACGTCACGGATTACTACATTATCAATAACAGGGTAGGTCGGCTTAGCCTCTACCAGGCTTCAGGAGGCGTATGGTAAGAGCAGAAATCTCAATCGGTCAAATAGACAGATAACATGCCGAGGGAATTGGTCCGCTTGATAGTACATTTTTATGCACTATCTAGCGGACCAACTCCCCTGGCATGTTATCTCTCTATTTGACCGATTTCTGCTCTTTCCAGCCGTCTCCTGAAGCCTGGTAGACAGGCTAAGGTCGACTCATCTCTGCTCAGTTTCCGTAGGTCGTGGTTCGTGCAATTTACACAGAGGAGAGATCGATTCTGTCCCATTTACTTCGAACGTCTCACATCTACTCTCATGATACCCCCACTATTTATGTAATAGATCATAATATACCGCCAAATTAGAACAAACAAACAAACAAACTTACAAAAGCAAAACAAAATGACAACGATAAATTCAAAGAGATCTAAATAATGCATCATCAGTGATTTCTGAGGTACGTACACTTCAGGTATCAAGGTGCTCAACTAGCTCAAGACATTCTTTCGAAGTATGACTAAGAGGACAAAAGTTTACGGCCCCTGCTTTAAAAGATTGTCAGGACCTTGTGGTATATTTTACATTTTATTCTCTGTACTATTACTTGATTTTTCAGCACCCGTGGTAACTAGTATTACAAGGACCGTGCTAGATAAAGCAGCTTGAATGCCGCACTCCTTGGTCAGGATAATAGACCATAATAGACGTCTAGACGGGAGTATTAATTTTTCGCAGATGTGTATTAAACGCCCTTTTATTGTTTAGCGGACACCAGTAGGGCGTTTATGGACTTTCCTTTACTCTGTTAACAATGGATGATTATTAGTGTCCCACCTCTGGGCGTGGTAAACCCACCCTTCAACTAATTCACACCTTTCTGTGAATCGGAATGTCAACACAATGGCAATATAGCATCGGTAAGTATGGTTTCGTTGACTTTGGGTTGAAAGAAAATCAAATCCACTGGATAATTTATCGGGAGTTATATTTTATCCACGCTGTTTGATCATATCTCGCATTTCCCACTTTTTCTTATATTACGAACGCTAAATTCATTTGTTCTACCCCCTGTTAAAAATGGAATTGACCATGTGCTCTGGTGCATGATGGGATTTCAATGGCGGCGCCCTAGTTTGAATTTTCATCGAAAGTTGTTTTGTCGCCTAAAAACTGGTTCAAAACGTGTATTTCACTCTAGAATCGCCCAATGACGATACAATTCTTTGTATTTTAACTCTAGGCCTTGATTGAACGCTTATTTGCGACACAACATCCTTTCATGGTACTGCAAATGTAACTTGTAAGTTGTGGGGGAGGGGGGCTTCAAGGAAAGTTTTAGTTTACGAAATCTTCGTTTTGAAAGTTGAGACAGAGCCACGATGTCCTTAGTTACTGTACAGCTGGGACAGTGTGGTAATCAGATAGGAGGGCAGCTGTTTACTACCGTACTGGAAGACGCGTACGGAAAAGGCGGCCTCGGCTGTACCAAAAAGGAGAACACTCTGTACCAAGATGCAGTTCTTGAAAGGTGAGCTGAATTTGTACTTGAACTTGTGACAACATTTTAGACACATGTGAACTGCTGAAATATAGAATATTTTGTAGATGATTTTGTAATACCACAATCACACTTCCTAACCAATGCTCTGCAGGGTAGGTTTTTTTTTTTTTTCATTTTTGTAAGGGGCCCATAAATTATGCTTCCCAGTCTGTGAACTACCCGCCAGGGCATCAGTTTGGAGTGTGACTGTAGCATGACAGACAGAAAGCTGGTCAGGCCTTGATCAGCTACAACCCCCAACATGCCCATCTGGAGTGTGTCACACTTACAGGCATTTCAGAAGCAGGCTAAAAGTAAATTGATAAATGTACTAGCAAGCATTTCATACTGTAACATTAACAGTGGAAAACAATTATTCACAAGTATCTACCTCATGTCAATGCTTTAAAAATCCTAGGTCATAATATGCATTTGGAAATACATTTATAGTCTTTCGGTTCCCTTCCTCATACTCCTGCTACAGGTTCTTCAATGCAGAAGAGCCCTCTGGTGAGACAAGGATGTCCTGCAGCCAGCAGGTGACACCCACAGCTCGTGCTGTCATGGTCGACATGGAACCAAAAGTCATCCAACAGACTATCCAGGTACTTTCTCATTCTTACCTTCATAATGATCATCAAAATGATAACGATACATGACAATTATTTTATTGCCTTGTATGACTCTATGAGGTCCACTATTAGTTTTAAAACCTCTCATAATAAAAAGTCCCACGTTTTGTTTTCTAATTTCCAAATTCCAATTTTCAAACCAATTTGAATATCAGCCCTTAATGTAGATTTTATTTGTAACTGGCAGTCTATTCATGGACTTAGTCTGATGTAGCTTAAGTAGCTTGGACTTGAACTAGGTGTGATGTCTTGTACCTGTGATTTTTATTTTTTGTAGGAAGCAAAGAAGTCAGGAAAGTGGCATTACTGTGAAAAGGCGCAGTTCTGTCAAAAACGTGGGTCTGGTAACAACTGGGCTCACGGCTACAGTCACCACGGACCTCAGGCACGGGATGCCGTCATGGACATTGTTCAGCATGAGGTGGAGAAATGCGACAGATTCGGAGGGTTTCTGTCATTAATGAGTCTCGCGGGGGGTACAGGATCTGGAGTGGGTGCATACCTCACCGAGTGTCTACGCGAAGAGTACCCGCACTCCTTTCTCGTGAACCAAATCGTGTGGCCGTACGGTACGGGAGAGGTTATTGTGCAGAACTTCAACGCAGCGCTGACGCTATCGCACTTGTACCAATCATCAGACGCCATCATCATCTTCGAAAACGACAACCTCCACAAGATCTGCTCCCAACTTCTTAGCATCAAGAACATATCATTTCAAGACATCAACTCGGTTATAAGTCAGGAGTTAGCAAGTGTTCTCCAGCCTGCAACATCTGCAGACTGCTGTAGGACCAACTTACCTGGAGAGTTACTAGAACGTTTGGTTCCTGACCCCCAGTACAAACTACTGAATGTCAGGACCATTCCACATACATCAGAGAGGGCATTGGCCTTCAGTTCGTTCACCTGGCCGGGACTACTGAAGCACCTGAGGCAAATGCTGATTGCAAACGCTGGGATGGAAGAAGGTGAGCCTCCTTTAATAATAGGCTTTATTCATTATCCCAGACAATAAGGGGCTAAAAATACCCCCATGTGCAATCCAAACTCCCCACAGGCTTGACATGGAAATGTAATCAGGGCTTTTTCTCTAGTGCTAAAATTACATCAGTCCTAGGGGTTTGCTGAAAAATTTTGAACCTGGGTAATGCTATTGTTGGCATGCAATATCATACAATGGCCTTCTACTTGAAATAAAGCCTTCCTTTCTTAGATTAGAAATATTCCAGCTAACTCTCTTGTTAAAAACAATCACTGAGAGGTATTGTATCAAAGTCTGCATACATGTACACAGCTCCGGATCCTAATTGGCATTAGGACCAGGAGACTTCTAAGAATATCCTGAAGTAATTTACGACACAGGAAGCTGACATGTATTATAGATTGCGGGCATTGACCTATGAGTCACAAGTTTCCAGCTATCATTAGTGGGAATAGTTGAAACAGGTACTGTAAATCCTGAAATATTTGCAGTGTTTTTTTAATTAAGTGTGCAGATCTCTTTTAGTCTCTAATAATACAAAGTCATCTCACAACTCAACTGCAAATGTATCACAAACTAATATAGCAAAATTTAAGTGCAGTGGACTATGTGGTAAAATGATGTAAATTCTACTTCTTCAGTTTTGAAGAAGTAGACGTTTTATGGTCACAATGATATTTACAGTTTCTGAATTTGTGTCTGACTCTGAATAATTTCTACAATTGTTTCCAACTTTCTGAATTTGACATGAGATGTTTGCTATTTTTGTCCTTCTGCAGGTGTTGACTGGCAGGTCAAAGTTCAGTCGCGTGACCGAAGGTTGTCGTCTGGCGACTTCACCTCCTCCCTTGCAAACGTTCTGTTCCTTCGCGGGAAACAGTGCGAGACCGCTGACACCTCCCCCTTCTCGGATCCGCGCCTCTACAGCTCCTGGGTACCGCGTGATGCAGCGTTCTCCGTCTTCCACCAACCACGACCCTTCCACAGCTACGAGAAGTACGCGTCGTTGCTAAGCAATAGCCAATCACCTGTCGGTCCTTTGGGCGTTCTCGTGGGGAAGGCTTGGAACATGTTTGCGTCTAGGGCGTATGTTCACCAGTACCTGAAGTATGGAATAGCAGAGGAAGACTTTTTAGACAGTTTTGCCACCTTAGAACAAGTCATCAACAACTACTCCAACTTATAAGGGAGCTGTAGAATGATACATTAAAGAAGATATGACTTGGTGTTTTCTATACACTCACATGCAACTAGACATATAGAATATGATTGAATGTGTCTAGACTGGCATATACAATACAATTGAGAAATAAAACATATCATCTTGTTTGTACAAAAGGAACTTTGAAGTTGACCCCCCTGTTGAAATGTAGTGAGCAGAGACTCCTATCAACATGTGAAATAACTGCATGTCATCAATGGCTTATTTTGTGACATCTTTTCAGCACTGATGATGCAGTACTAGTAGTACAAAAGAATTGAAAATTTAAAAAAATTCAATCCCTGATATATCTATAGTTTGATTGTCGTGAGAATAAAAGATCTTTGATAGCTGTGGTCAATGAAGGTATGGTGCATTGCTCATCCATTGGCTTAAAGATTACCGTAATACATATAAATTTAGGGGATGTAAATTCGCAGTGGGCACTGACCAAAAATTAGTACCATTTGCAGTGTGAGAATTTGTGGTGGAGAGGTCAGATTGTAAAGTGAACATATAACCATTGCAAACGTTTCAAGACTTACAGTTACAGTATCCACCCCATATATATCATATATATTAAATATATATATCACAACATTCAAGACAGGCGCGAGAGGGCAAATGGAAGGTAGCTCAGAAAATTTTTTTTATAAAACATTTGCAAAGAACACCTGGCAAGTTTTAGGTAAAGCTTTCTTGTGCAACCTGTTCTTGTAGTTTGTTCCCAACCTTGATACTGTATTTGAATCATGTAAAGAATACTACATAATTTTTCTCCCATTGAAATTCAGTGATAAACGTAGACTTCATTGATATTTTTGTATCAATTGCATAGGATTATGAACAAAAGGTATGAACTTCCAAATAAGGCATGCAACTTCCGAAAAGGCAGCGCATGCGCGCGCAAAGTTTGTAAATAAAAACTTTGAACGCATGCCCACGCAAACGGGCACCCACACACCCCCTGCGAGCTAATCTACCCACGTGAGGGGAATCAGTTGTTAAAAAGGGACGCACTCGTGGGATTAGAAAGTACGGAGATCGTGACTTACGACTTTTATCAATTTTTGTCTAAGATAATGACGGAATGAATATTTTTGAGACGTCTGATGTTTTATTGGCCGCGGTGCGTTTTGCAGCGGTGGATTAGAACCTGGAGAAGTGAGAAGTGTCATGGCGGACCTTACGGGCTGATTCCCGAGCTCAAACCGTGAAATTTTACCACAAAAACCGAAAATGGCAGCCCAGAAGCCTGTGGAATGGGTGCAGGCCGTGATATCACGATTCGATGAACAGGTCAGTATCAAACTTGAGGTAATCCACGCTTCCTAGACGTCTGGCAAGGCACGTGTATTGCTATGTTTTGCTCTGCTCGATGTGAAGATCCGGCGCGCAGCGCTGCAAAATCTTCTAAGAAGGGCTGTCATTATCTTCCATATCGACCCCTTTCCTTCCTTTCTGGAGATTCGTGTCACACCTAGTGTTGGTGGAATTTCTCGGGACCACCTCCCTGGCCTTTTTTCGGAGCAGATTTTCCCTTGTCGTGTGACGATTCCGCTTACAGAACCGTACATGGTGTAGAAAGAGGGCCGAAATTTCTGCACAAAATTTCCCCAACCACCACCACATCTCTGTCCAACATCTTTCGCCGCTCTGCCAGGCAGAACGCCAAAATCTCCGACTTCCGCTGGCTTTTGTTTACCCCATGGCTGTTTACCACCGTCTTTTCTGACAGAATCTGCAGCGGAAATATTCCTCCCAGACCCTGGGGCACTGGGGTTCGAGGGGACGGCAAAATATCGTCTGCCATTTTTGCGTCTCCCAAACCCTTTTCAGATATAACATGCGGGCATGGCGCTTCTGTATATACATATATATTCCTCACAAATGGTGAAAAATTTGTCCCTTCTGATGTCAGAAATCCTTTGAAATGAGAGTGAGAAGAGGAAAGGGATATGCCGAGGAGGATTTTGCTGTTTGTGGCGTTATGTTTCTAGCGGTGGCGGGTTGGCAGTATGATTGATCAGTGCTCTGCTATAGGGATGAATGGACGGCAGGGTTCATTCATTGATAACGGACACACCCCTAATGTGGGGAGGGGGGCGGATGGAAAAACACTATTAAAGATACTCAATGTACAATTTTTCTGGCAAAACGAAAAATATTCTGGATGACAAAATCTTCATCCTGTTGATGTTGAGATGCACATTTTGTCACATTATTTCATGTCTATGACATTTACAAACGCAGCAAATACAATCTGTTCCCATTTTTGTGGTACCAATAAATACAGCCTAACAAACCATCAGCTTTTCAATGAGTTTGTCTGATGCAAATTATGATATCGCATTTTCATTCCCAAAATATTTTTATCCAATGCAATATTTCACATGTTTTCTGTTAATTTTTGTATAACTGAGAAAATATAGCATGTAGGAGATGGCCATTGTGGAATTTTAGATTTTGGATGTATGTAGAAAGAAAACAATTCATTCTCTTCAGATTTTGTCAATTTCAATAAAGAATTGGCATGATGGAAATTTTATGTGTTTATTGACTGCAATGCATTTTGTGGTGACCATGTCACTTGGTGATTTTAAGACATTGTAAAAGCTAATTACAATGTATAATACAGTACGATCCCCATATTTCACCTACCTTGCTCTTTATCTCCCATTTCTTATGCTATAAATGCCACGATGCTGTTATTATTGTATGATGTTTATAATTAGAAACCATCTTTCATTCATGTCACCCATAGATCTGAATCTAAATGTTATCAAAATATCAGTGCATGCTTACATCCTGTATTTGTTTATGATGATTTGCCACAACAAGTGGGTTGACTGACCTATCCTTATTGAATTTTTGGGACCCAATGAAAAGGAAATCTACTATTTTGAGGACTTTTGATGGTTTAACAGTAAGTATAATATTTTGCAAAAGAAGAGAAAAATTCAAGGATGCAGTTACAAGCAATTGATTAGTTAGTCATACATTGCTATACTGTTACATTGTAGGGAACTAGAAAATGCAAGTGCTACGTGTAGGTTTGTTCTGTATGCCATGGTAAAGGTAAATAGATACAGTAATAGAAATCATTAAAACTTCTAGGGAACTGCAATGTATGGACTGATATTCATTATGCATTTGTATAACAGTACTCAGCAAATTTCTGGTTAGTCAGATATATAATTAATGAATTATACAGGGTAAATGTGTGTATTTTGATAACAGTTTTTCCTCCAGAATCTATGACCGTGATGCATGATAAGTCTGGTTCAGAATATTTTTGAGAAGATTCTGCAGTTTCTAACATTTAGATGTGGATTTATCAATTCATATTTACTACATATACAATTGTAAGTGATAATTTAAACATTGACAAGGATACATAAAAAAAATTGATCCTCAGTTTGCAAGCTATATGTACAACATGGATGTTTAAAAGAGCCCCAAATACAATCTATGTGCTATGTACTTTCATTGATGTTAATGATAAAATTTATTCATATTACGACAATAACAGTGAAGGCTTTCTGGCCAAATCGTGATCATAACTGCAATTTGCCAACAATATGTAGACACATTGACACTGTCATTGAGTCTCAGAGCAATTATATCTATTTCCAAATTATGGACACACTGACAGATTCATGTAAATGTTATAAATTGTTGACCATAATGACAAAATTGTTCTTGGATCTTGTTGAAGCATTATGGATTCAGCGATCTAAATGGTTTGAATGACAATATTGAACATTGCAACTAGAAAATTATCGTTCAAAGGTTAAGATATAAAAAATAGAAAGGCATTTCCATAAGTTGTTTCCATAGTTCATTGATGCCTGATGACTTTACTGTAAATTTTGAAATTTTCATGGTGCTTTTTACATTCATGATTCTTGTTGCACCACAAGTAAGTACTGTCTTCCATTGTGTTTAACATTACTGTAAATTCTTACTTTTTACCATGCATGTATGTCCTGCCGCAAAATTTGAGTGCAGTGAATTTATTGAATTTACCATATCCTGTACAACTATTTTGAACTAAACAAAATAAAGGAATAGCAACACCTGTATGATTCAGTTATTCTCCTTAAAACTTATTTGAAAAATGGAAGGCAGTCTGATTATAATAAAAGTAAATTAATCGTTAAAAGGGGAAGTAAACGATTTCAGCTTTTTTATTTGGATATGAAACAAGAAGTGAAAATTTAAAGAAAGAAAAGATGAAAACTGAAAAGCATATATTAATGCCTATGAAAGCAGTTACAGCCAATTGCAATCGTATAAAAAATGGCCAAAGCCAAACCAAGTTAATTGGTCGTTTTCAAAGATCTAAATGTAAAATGTTGATATTGATTCTTCTCATGTTGAGATATGAAATTTGGTGCACAGATTACATGTACATGTATTAGGTAGGATAGGGTTAAGGGACTGCAATGTTACCTGATAGCGATAGGAGGCTCTGTCTTATTCCATGCATGGAGATTCTATAACATGTACAGCAGCTGCTATCTTATGCCATAACCTTGGAAAAATAGATAATGATTTAAAAACTTGACTTAAACCTTTTGGAACTATATACAAAATGATTTATGATTTTGTTCCTCACTTAGCATGTTTTCTTTTTAACAGAACTAGGAACAACTTAGTGCATGTACAATTATTAATATGGTTTGTCACTAATGATGAGACGACTAATACAATATAATATAAGCTTTAAGTTTAATCTTGAATATATGTAGTAGTGATCATGATTAGGTCAAGCTGGGTAGTAATGGGGATGGGGTGGGTGTAATAAAATGCATGAAATACAATATGATTATGAATCGTATTTGAATGTTAAAAAATTTTTGGGATATTTATATACATTTGTAGTACATGCATGAAAGTGTCTTAAAAGAATTTCTCGGTGAGCTATTAATAGAATTGTATGTCTGCTTTTAAGGATGTTTGAAATTGTTTGAATGTTAAACCAAAAGTCTGTATAGATGTTTGAAAATCCGGAATGCTTTCTTGTTCTGTAGTTCCAGGAATCACCGGATGTTTTTGCCGCCTTTCAAAGAAATGTGGTCTCTTGTTGACAACTTTGAAATGCAATAATTCTGTAGATAGATAGCGGTACTTGTATAGAAGTGTTTCATTCATGCAAACACGTTAAAATTTGTAACATAGTTCCGCAATTAACTCAGGGATCAAAATACTTTTTTTTTCATCTGTGCCAGGTTAACATTAACGACTTACAATCAATATTACCTGCCCAACAAGTTTACCTGCACCATGGCCACTCCTAGCGATTTCAGTCCATATCATATGGAATCTTGTCAACTGAATGTATTGGAGGATTGCTGCTATGATAAATACAGGGCATATATGGTCACAAGTCACAACTATGCTATCGAGTATCATATAGTGCGGTAGGCTGGTCTATCATGGACAAGTGCTGGTTAGGTGCAGGTAGACATCAGAAATACCTGCACTACTTTACAATTTCTCTTGCACCAATTACCTGCATATTCAGGTGATGTTTTGAGCCACGTGGGTAAAAAATCGTGTTCACGCACACAGAAATAGAATCAGCGACAGGATGTGTTAGATGTACTTGACTCCAAAAGGAGTGGTTGAGTTCAGAAACTCGACTTTGCTGAACCCATGTTCAATTTCTGAGGAAGAGGCATGAAAGTGGTGCCAGCCGTGACAGGAAGTGTTGCCCACTGAATCCCCGATCATGCGTCACTGGTTACGCAGCGCCCACTGGTCCAAACACAACGAGATGTATTCAGTCTTGTCAGAAGTCAATAGACCAAAGGGAAAGAAAGGTTCATCGACCGGGAGATCAGAATGTCTTTTACATGTCTCAGTTTTGAGGAAGCTAAATCCATTCATACAATTTGAGAAGTTCAAGAAATACCACAGAATTGCTTAAAGTAAATGTGCAACACATTTTGGAGTTAAAAAGCACATATAGTGGGAAAATACAGAAGTACATGTATAACTTTTTGTTTTTCAAATTTTTTTTTGTTCACAGTTGCCTGTCAAGAACCCAGTACACAACACTCACTCCCGGCTACACATTGAGATGAACAAAGAGTGTCTGGTCAACGTGAGCAGATACAAGTTTTCCATTGTCATCAATGGGCTGACCAACATCCTCAAGAGCCTCTCTACTATGGTAAGGACTAGCCAACATATATTTTCGAATGTTAGGTCTGCTATAAGACTGCAAAAGGAATGTTTTTGGTAAAAAAATACATATCTTACTGCTAGGATATAGACCAGGTAAAGAGTTGAAGAAAAACAAATAGTTTGTGACTTAGAGGTTATACTTCAGCAAAATTCTGCATTTTTATACATGATTTTGGAGAGATCACCGAGTAGAATGTCAAAAGCATAATTATATTGATTGTCTTAATGAGTTGTCCTTCAGGCAGTGGAAATAATGATAAATGCAAAACATACTTTTAAGATGTAGGTTAAGTGTTTTTCACCACCCACTCACTGACGTTTTTCTAACAAAGGCAAGATGTACATGCAGGCAAATCAAAGAACAAGACAGGAAATGGCAGCAGACTATACAAAACGCTCTTCACAATCCTTCACAGATTGTCACTGTAGTAGTGTAAGTCATTAGAGATCATATAATGATGAAAGATTGTTGTTCTCCCCCATTACCCCAGAAAATCAGTGGTCCAGATGCGGAGAAGAACCTACATCAGTCCCAGCTCATCATACTGGACACACTGGAGAACTGCTTAGAGGGGGCAAGTATCTAACACAACCTTCTATGGTTGCAGAATGTACTGTGCCTGAAGGTTTTTTCGCGGTTTTTGTTTGATGTTTGGTCACCATTGCATCTTTTCCAACATAACATTTGGAAACTACGGGAAATACAACCTTATACAAGACGTTTTGCCAAAGTACTATGCACAATACATCACGGGTTTCGTGCATGTGCAGTATGTTCTGCGTGTTGTTCTAAACAACATTATTTGATCATATATCTCAGTAGCCCGGTGTATATATGGGGGAAGCTACACTGGGGTTAGCCTTAGGCCAAATCTCATGTAAAACTAAAAGAACCCAACACATGCATGTACACATATTGGGAAGAGTGGGGGTGACTTGGTGTGCTTTGCAAAGCTACAATGCACTATTACAGTTATAGTTAGTTATTTGGAAAAGCGACAAGTTTTGCCTCAATGCGGGATGACTAGCTTGTACCCTTTCATTCATATTTGGTATGTTACATCGGACAAATTCCGATTTAAAATCCTGTTGAAAATTTGATGAGACCATGCTTTGCTGTTTGGTTAATCATACTATGGCGAAGAAATAGTCTTGCTACCAAATATTTACTATCAAGAAATCTGTTAGGTAGGACATCCAACATGCACGTTTACCACTATTTGCTTGGCTAAAATATTTCCACGAATGTTGTAATATACTCTTGGAAAGGAGTTTAACATACCTGCCTTGGTGTATATGTCCACCCGCATGTCCTATGTTGTGTGTGGACTACTTGATGATTAGTCTGTAGACCTTATGAATATATTTATCCAAGGTTTGTTGTTTTGTAACTGTCTAATGATTTAGTGACGTCATTAGTTTCTACTATATGATGTAACTTGTTTTTAAACAAAAATATGAGGTTGTTTTGAAAACGTACTATACAAATAACATTAGGTCTGACCATACATTTAGCATATTATAAAGATGACTCATACACGTATAATCATATTCTCAAAGTATATCACAAATGCATGTATAGACATATTCCTTTCTTTGTATCCATGTAGACATTATTTAGTTAGATATACTTTTCATCATTTAAAAATTGAAATTGGTTTTATAGCTATGTTAATTTACTACCTTGGCTTTTGGGATTAACCAATGGCTTTGAGGCTTACATGTACCCCACGAGCACTCATGACCTTATTTAGAATGTCTTTAAATCCTTATAGCAACCAAAAGACACCTCCCGATTGGATGAAACCATGCTGGTCAAGCAGCTGCTACCAGAGATCTGTCAGGTAATAAGAAACAGTATCAAAGTCTTTGTCTTGTCCTGACCAATGAACATGCATTTTATTCCTTGATTGGCATTACTGTAGATTTAGTATCTTTGGTATCTTTCCATGTCGCTGATTGTACAACCACATGGTCGGATCTGATACTTCAATTTTGCTTTGATGTTAAATATCATCTACATCTTTTCCAGTCTTAGTCTGTAATGGTAAATATACTTTTTTCTTTAAATTCTAAAGTACCCCAAAACAGTATATGGAATTGATGCAGCCTTTGTAACCACCTAGTACTTCCTGTCAAAGGAAGGAAGCACCATTATGAGAAGTCCATTTCCTGTGGGACATGTGAAGAGCAGACCACTTATCTAACATTTTGTGGAAAGGATGAAAAAAAAAAAAATGGCACAAATTTGAACCAGGCCTGCACCTGATTACATTTGACTTTCAGTTTCTCAAAAACAACATTTTGAAATTATTCTCTTTATAGTATGTCTATTTTCAAATAGCAGTATACAAAAATTGCTATGAGAGAAAACCAATATCAATGATTGTTAAAATTAATAAAAGTTACACAATTGAATTTGTTCTCTTTATAAATTTTATGTTCTTTGGATAAAAAATACAGTAATAATAGCAATTATGATTAATTTATTTTATAATAAAAAAATACAATCTACCATTTACCTGATTTATTGTTTTCTAATCTACAGTTTTGTATGTTTTTATATCAGTTCATAAATCTACAGAAAGAAGGTCCTCTGGTATCCGAGCTGAAGGCATCCGCATCACGAGTTCTCTTTTCACTTAGCTGTAACAACTTCAACGCAGTCTTCAACAGGATTTCTGCAAGGTTTGGATCTGTATTCATTTGTATGAAATACTATGTCAATGTTTGTGTTATGTTTACCGGAGGAAACATAGTGTTTCTGCTCTGTTTCCTCTTCTTCTTCTTCTCCAAACCAATAAGGTCAATAACCTGAACCAGATGGCTATCACTATGGTAACTGGTGTTGGGTTATTTTTACATCATGTTGCAATTTTGTAGCAGGAGGGATTTAGACCCCTGTCTGACCGTATATATGAATGTGTTTGACTTTGAGTAAGAATTAACAGGGCAGACCATATGCGAAGGTAAATATTATGCATTTGCTTTGCAAATGTTACCTTTCTAGTTGATGTAATTATACATAATTTCGTTAAACCTAGCATTGTGTTTTTGTCTCAATATCCCTCCCAGTTCCTGTTTTAAAGTGTAATATCAGTCATTTCCATTTGCTAACCATTGCATATGAAAAGTGGTATTTAATAATTAATAACTGTAAGTATGTACAGGAAGCGGTGTATCCGGCACCGCCAACAGGATGTCCGGCCTGCTTTCCTGTATTGATGAACATTTTGAGAGACTCTGCAGATGTCAATTAAAAAATGAAAACTTTCTCATGGTGGTGTATTAAACAGCCAGCACATATCAGATTTCTTAAGCCCACACTGACTTAATGTTACTGTTATAGTAGTTCTTGGATTTTTAGAAATAATTAGGAGCAAACAGTTGAAAAAAAATGCTACTACAGGAGCTACAATTTCCAACAATTAATTTCAAGTCTAAATGTATTAATACATGTACATACATGTGACTGTAAAAATTGTAAATAGGAAACAAGGACTTTTGCCAACTGGTGATGCCAAAATGTGCATTAGAAGTTGATTCTTGATCTTTTTTTTTCATTTTTGTTTCAAATCAGAAAAAGAATGAAGTGGAAAATCCAAGAACCAAAAATTTTATTGGCTTTAAGGCAAATTCATTCAGTCCAAAATAGCAGATATCTTTAGAGAAGTGAGGGTAAAAAGCAGAACCCATTCTAAATAAATGTTCACCTTGGCCTATGTTGAACATTTACGGTGAACCTAAAATACCATGCGGGGGCGTCTTGCTCTTTGTTTTGAGTAGCCAAGTGTAAATAAATACCACGTCACATGCCTATGAAGTTGGATGGACTGTAATAGTTACAGAGGCTATTTGTGTAGCAATCGTACACAGATGGCTGGCTGGAGAGTTTTATTTGGCAATGTGCGTCATGTTATTCCCCTTATAGTACATATATCCTATATTAAAATAGGCAAAACTTTAATCATTTAAAAAATAAGAAAAATTGGAAGGTTTATTTTCCACAGTACTAAGATATGTTTTTTACTTAAAGATGTTCTTTGATGTGATATGTAAGCTTGCTATTATTGAAAACAGAAGTACCATTACCTTATTCTTGTCAGGTGGCCTTTCTCCAAGTTATCAAAGTACAGTACATCAAAGAATTAAAGAATATTACAGAGGAAACCTTTTTAGATCTACATGTCTCTGATTTTCATTAAAACAAGACTCAAATGTTAATGTTTTTGGTAATTTTTCAAGATATCAGCTTTTAAGACGTATTTCAAAGGCATCAGTGATATTAGAGTTTCTTCATTGCAGATATTCTCCTTTAGAAACTAAGCCATTCTCAACATTTGGATTGGAAGTAGGGATTGAGTTCTTAGATGGCTTTTTGTCTTACATGTTTTGCGTCTCTTAAACATAAAGTTGAAAAGGCGTGGGAAGGATATTAGAAGAAGGGAAAGGAAGTGTTTCGAGTCCTTCCTCTGACAACAAAGCTAAGGAAACAGCTACGGAAGCAAATGTTAACTTCAGAAGGATTATTCATCCTCCAGAGTCCACCCACACACCTTTTGAGTCATACTGTATCTATATAAACGCTATTTTTACTGTTTTAATTGGTTAGGCTACATCATATATGCTATAGTGTTAATCTTAGTAAGTTTATTGCCCTTGCAGTTGGTTGGCCTGAAATCTGAGTGTAACTTCAGGGAAGGGTACTGCTGGACAGAAATAGTTCCTGGTAGAATAACAAAATAACAAGTCCTCATGTTTTCAAGTTTTGAATAAAACATGGAACCATACTCATGTTTAACATTACTCGGAAGTTGCCCTGACAGTACCTACTAATGTTTGTGTATTTCCATCATTGGCAAACATGACAGGATATTGAAAACATCACTCTGTACATTATACTGTTAAAGTCCTGCTGTAGAGGTGCAGTTTTCTAACTACGAATTCCTGCTTTGTGCTTAAGAATGGCTACGTGTTGTTCTCAAATGAGAAAGGGGTCCTTGAAAAACATCTGGAGGAGTAGACGCGATGTCCGTTCAAAGTCCATGTTTGAGCTGGGTAAGCGTGAACGTTCCTTCTCTCTCCCCAGGCTCCACAACTTGTCTGTGTGTAGTGAAGACACACCAGACATCAGCGATTTGGAGCTGATACAGCACATCAACGTTGACCTGTCCCGTCTCACCAGATTGTTGCAAGGTAAGGCAAAGATGTCAAGACATTTCATTTCATTTTATTGGGAATTTGCAACATCGCGATACTTTGGGCTATCCAGGCAGCAGTGGCTGATGTAAGGCACCACGGTTTAACAAAAACATTGTCACAAGACATTTTTCTTAGCTCATGCTGTAAGATGGATTAAAGATGATACATTGTACTAAGTAGTGTCCACTCAAGGGACTTAAAAGAAAACGGTCACAGCAGACAGGTGGCCACTATAGACAGGATTCATAAGTCAGTTATGGATTCGCATTATGTAAGTAATTGTTGTTTTTGAAAGCGATTTTGATACAGATGTCTCAAATGATAATGTAAGACAAAAACCCAATCTGAATTTGGAGAAAAGCAATATCTTTCAACATATATTAATAATATATGTTGAAATATATATATTTGCTTTTCTCCAAATTCAGATTGGGTTTTTTCTTACATTATCATTTGAGACACCTATATTAAATAAGCAGAATAGAATTGTGGAGTGTAAGAAAATCTTTTCCCTGTATTGTTGTGTGAAAGCTTGTGTCCTTCTGTGTGGACTGTGACCTTACGGCCATTGACTTATGTTGACCCAGAAGCTGTGCAGAAGTTTAAGCAGCTGAAGAAGTCAGTACACATAGCGCTAGCCACAAATCTAGAGAGAGTAAGTCTTTTTTTCTATTCCAGACTTAATCATTCAATGTACGTGTGTAGTTAGAACTGTATATCCTTGTGTTCAGTATTATGTTCTTGTGAATATAGTCATTTTAGTCTGTAGCACTGCAGTGTATTTTATCATATTTTGTATATTGAGAACTTGGTTGATGTAAGTAGAAGGAATTCATTTTTATGATTACAATAATTATAGCATTTCTTGTATTTGTCATGACTGTTACAGCAAATATTGTATAGTCACCGATGTTGTACATGTATGTATGTAGATTTGGCCATGTATGCTAACCATTACATTAGTGAGATATTGTGTAATGAAGTCAGTAAATGTTGATCCTTACCTTAGATTCTCTGCCTTTTGTCTAGGCCATATGGAATCTCCTGGAAAATTATCCCGAGGAATTCCAAGAACTTCATCAGAAACCAAGTCCAGACCTAGAAGGTAGCATTGTGCTTGCTGTTGTAAACATTTTGAAAATTACTTCAGTGAATCTCCTTTATGGACAGTAAGAGATTTTATTAGATTTCTATAACCTCTAGTAGGGTTAAGTTAGAAAGAACTTCCAAGATAAAGTGCCCTTAGTCAAGTCCATGAAGGCAAAGACATAGATTTAGTATGCCTATTGTCAGTTGATGGCATTCAGCACCAAGGAGAGGGACAACTGTTGTTACCTCACCTTTTAAAAGCAGCTATCACCTCATCATGTTGTATCAGGCACTTTAAATACATTGAAATTTTTATTGATTATATTGATTATGATTTTGGAAATACATGGAAAAGAGATTATGACATTGTAATAATACTGGAAAAATTAACAAATTTATTCAGTTTGGAGGTATATTTCTGTCTTCATTCATTGTAATGAAACGTAATGAATACATACAATGTAATGAAACTTGGAGATATGGAGAGGCAAAATATAATAATGGAACTGAACTGATGATAATTAGTCTGGGCTCTCCTGTGATGGAAAATTGAAGAGATTTCTTAGCTGCATGTCTGACTTTTTTTTCCCTTTCCACACCCAGAGTGTGCAGAGAAGTTGTTTGATCTGTTGGACACCTTTGCTGGGGAGGGCTCGAGGAGGAAGGTGGCAGCCGTGTGGCCACTACAGATCATGCTGCTGGTGCTATGTCCTGTAAGTGTTTCTTACAAATCTCAGTGCTGTAGATCTTGAAACAGTCCTGTGATTTTATCTACCTAGTTTGTGCAATGTGCAAAATCATCACACTATAACTGATACATTTTTCTTGTCAGTGATGAACTCTTTTCATTTGCCTACCATGAAGTTTAAATAGCTGCGAATGCAAAAAATTAACTGCCTTGAACTATCAAGTATTACCTAGTACTGGAAAGTGTAGGCTTAGATTTCATTGTAGTGACCAAGAAATTTCATTAGATTGTAATGCTTGAGGTTATAATAAACCAAATTGTGTATGTTTGGACTTTGAAACCTGCAGCTGACTACTGAGATTAAAGTTATGTTGTACCTTTTTTGACCAAAGAAACAAGCAGCTAGTAACCCATATGAATTTTCCTTCCTCCAGGCATTGTTGCAACAGATAGCTAGTAACGACCCCAACGTAGTGTCCAACCCGAGATACCAGAAGAAACGTCTGTTCATTGATCACGTGAAGAAGGCCCTGAGTGGGCAGGGAGTGCCAAAACACCTGACAGAGAGCGCAGCTGTCGCCTGCGTCAAGCTCTGCAAGGCGTCCACCTACATCAGCAGACAGGACAACTCCGTCTTGTGTTTTATAGTCCAGTCACTCTTGGGAGACCTCAAGGTGGGTAGGACAAGCACGTTTGCAGAACGTAATGCGCCTGCGTGAAATCCTGATATTTCACTGTTTTCGTGGGATCAACATTACATTAGAATTTTGCCTGTAGCAGACATAACATTTGTAAACTACAGACAGGATGTTTACCTTAAATCCATATGATGGCCAAAAGTCAAACTTGAATTTGAAAAGAAAGAACATAGGCTTATACATATAGAGGTGTAGTGAGTATAAAAAAGATACATTTCCACTTGATTTTAAAACCACAATGCAAGTTTTCAAAATAATGTGTAAGAAAGTGTCCAAATGTATTTGGCAGATTTGTTGGTAAACATTTGAAATACTTGACACTTAAAGCACCATGAATTTTGTTTCTTCAGCTTTAACCAGGGAAACACTTTAGTTTGATATACTTATAACGTAATCAAGATCAGCATGTGATACTTTTTTTTTCAGAATCTGCTGTTTAACGCTCACAAGCAGTTCTCGCGAGGTCCCGGGTACCAGATGGCAGATATCGAACTGATGATTGACTGTTTCGTGTCCTGTTTCCGCATCAACCCCCACAACAACTCCCATCTCAAGGCCTGTCTACAGCCCAACGCCCCACCAGCCTTCCACTTTGTCCTGGTCAGATCTCTACACATGATTATAACACAGGTCAGAGAAACAACGCTCTCATGTCTGAAAGTTTGTATGTACAAATGTCATGTATTTCATTTTATGTAATACATGGGCTGTGGTAAAGTTCAATACGGCTGTTCTAGCCTGTGTGATAACTAGCGGTACAACCCGGGGTTCTATTTGGTTATCACACTGGCTTCCAAATGTTCCATAGAGTCATTCGAATGTTTGCCCTGAGGTGCATGCACCGCTTTTGAAAATTCGAATATTGGATTCAGACGTTGGAATTGATGTTGTTGCATATTTTGATTTAGGTACACCAAATTCAGGCTCATTTCACATTAAAATGCGTGTTTTCTTGGGTGGGTACGACATAAATAAAATACAACACAGTGTCACCTGAGGTACCAGCCCCACGAGTCGGATTGCCTGATGGCTATATGTATTACATTGTACGCTTTTGGAAGGCCTTGGACTTATTTTTGGCAATGCCTCGGGTAGATCTAGAGGCATTATTATACACAGGTCTGTAAAGTTTGTTTTCCATCCCTTTTTAAGAATGTTGGAAAGGCGTCAAGAAGTATAGATAGACCAGGGTTTTGTCCCATCCAAGTTCAAGTGGACAATTACTTGTCAATAATTGTTCATAGTGTTTCATCCAAAGTGTTGACATCTTTTGTTTGTGTAACGACAGAGAGCGATGCCGTGGTGGCCCAAGATCGACACTCTCTACAGCTTCTCGGGAGAACTGCGGACCATGCTCACAGACACCCTGAGAAAAGTGACGGAGGGATGCAGCACAAACACACCTCTCAGACTCAGCCAGGTTGGGCTACATCTTGTAATACATCAATTGTTTTACATATTGATGAGCTGAACTTCAATTATGTTTTCATATCAAAGAGCTCAAAAATTTTGACTGTAGTTGGTGCCAAGTATGAATTGATAAACAACTACAATTTCCATGAAGAAGTTTTGTTCGGCTAATACAAAAGATTAGCCGAACAAAATACAAAAGATAGGACTGGTAAGAATATGATCACAATTTTTACTGAACTTTGATGGTGCCTTAGACAGAGCTTGTATACACATTTTTATGTTTTGTCTTAATGTACATGTTTTGTACTTTGTGTTTTATCCACTCTTCTCACTTTCCTCAACAATTTTCTTGTATTTCTCATCTCATTCTTTCCTCTATCATTTCTTCTGTCATGTATCTTTCAACATTTCTTCTCTCTCCCTGTGTTTGGGTGACTCCTTGGTTCCAGGCTCTAGTGCACCTGCACATCTATGTGCGAATGTCGACTACCACAGGCCCGTGGGTGACTACAACATCCTGTCTTCAACCTCTTCTTTTTCTTCAGCTTCTGCTTTAATTTTTAGCACATTGTACATATATTTGGAACAAAGATTTAAGCTGGCTGCAATAAGTATTTCTGCCTTTGAGTTTGAGGCATTTGTGAAAAATTAGAAAGCTTTGCAAGTTAAACTGAATGATTTTAAATTTTTTTAATCCTTAAGAACTCCCTACAGCTTTGAGAAAGGCATTTACTGACGTACAAAATATCTTCTAAGGAAGTCAGTGTCAAGAATTTTGGATTTGTTTAAAATGAAAACAAAGTCTTTTTTTTTAGTTTTGTAGGTTTTTCATTAAAAGTTTTATCTATGTCTTGTTCTACCACCAGAGCATGACATTACGGGAGAAAGTGACCAGTCTGAAGTTCAAGGAGAAGCCTGCAGATGAAACATTGAGCTACAAGACCCTCCTGCTGTGGATAGTCAAACTCATCTACCCAGACCCCATGCTGATGTTACATGTAAGATGGGCACTTTATACACACCTTAGTCTTAAGACTTCAAGGTGTACCTATAAATAGATTATAGGTAACCGTTCACCTTAGAGTAGTACAGCACAGTAAGACTGAAGAGGCAAATATTGTGGCATTGAGTGAAAGAGTAGCTACAGTCGCAGACATGAGATGGAGAGGTCATGGGTTTGATCCCTGGCATTCCTGGCAAGACCTTGTGTCCTTGGAAAAGGCACTTAGTACAACTTTCCTCAATCCACCCAGGTGTAAAATGAGTACCTGACTTTAGTTGGGAAGGTAAAAGGCAAAGGTATAGGCTCCACCATCTAATGTCATGCCCTAGTCACTGCTTCTACTGGCTCAAAAAGCCTATGGGACTACCTCTACCTTTTTGTAAGAGACATATATTACGACCTTTTTTTGTGTGTTCAGAACCCTGGTAAGATGGGCCATGAGATCCAGAGCAGCACCTTGGAGCTGATCAATGGTCTGGTGTACCTGGTCCCACAGGAACACATGCCTGAACTCTCACAGGAAGCCATGGAGGTACGGACATGCACACACAAAATATACAACATTTAGCAGGCAAATTATCATGTAGCACTGTCAAACATTAAGGTGGCAGGACACAGTTTTCGCCCTATGTGAATTTCTATAGTTAAGCACCTGAGCTGAGGTTGACTCACTTCGACGCGGTAAGAATTATAGTAGGGTGCACTAGAGAAACATGGCCAACTAATGTGTCGAAATATACGGTATTCTACTGTAACAAAATAACATCATGACGACCACTTTGATTTGGCCACCTGCGGCGGTCAACTGAACTGCAGCTGACTCACCCTGGAATGCAGTTTCGTATTCCGGCGCATTTGTACAGGAACAGAAAAATCTTCACAATCCAAGTCATACAGTGTAAGAGCCGATACATTTCTTCTGCACCACAGTTTACTCCTCATAACTACCTCTCACATAAGACGTGTCACCCAGGATTCAAGAGTCTGCACTACTCTCTATACCCGCGTCATAGACCCCTAGGGTTGCCCATTAATACTGTGTTCTGCGACCTTAATAATTTTATGTAGTCAGGATAATTATGTAATTTGTTTGACGCCCATACACACAGCTTAAACAAGTGTTCTTGTATGCATTGATGTCTAACCGTCCTCCCTACCCGTAGGCCCTCCTGTGCCTCCACCAACCAGAAAACATCGAACTGTGGAACCCCGAGGCGCCCATCGCCACTTTCTGGGACATCAGGTATGCCGTAGAGGAGAACAGCCAAGTCTCGTTACATATGAGGTTTGCAGCAGTTGACTACTAACCATGTGATGTGACTCACAGTAGAGCGAAAATAAACATCACTTCCCAGCCCTTATGCATAGATCCTTAAACATAAAATATGTTGGCAAACTGTTAGTACAATGAGTTGATAACAACTAGTAGTAAAAAAAAGTAAGTTATTGGTTTTACTCATAGGTGCACTTCAGGGTTGGCATTCATTGTTGACTTAGACAACTTTATTGTCAACTAAAGGAAACTTTAAACTGATGATTGCAAGTGTTTGTTGACTTTATTCTTTGCATAGTACACATTCAATGTGTTGAATTGTAAAGAAAATGTTACAACATGGTTATAATTTGAACACAAATTGGCCGACAAGCTTATTTACAAATTAGCCCTCATGAGGACTTCTGTCTTAATTTTTTTAACTACCAACCTAGTATGCTTTGTCTATGCTGTAAAATTTTTATGATAACGTGAATATATTCTGCAGTAGAAAAAGTCAAAGTTAAAAAATGGTCAAGTAACTTTTACTATAACCTTAAGACATGTTAAAACTTTGATAACTATTACACAACTTTGTAGTTGATGTTGCAAAGATTTGAAACTAGATTTAAAGTAGCATAAAGTGTCAAATGAATACATGTAGCATTTAGCTGATGGCACCAACGTAGGTAAAATATAATGTAAAGCAAGCACTGTTAAAAAATTACATTGCAGTGATAGTGAGTGGACAGCCAAATCAACCAAGGGTGGATTCCTTGCAGAGAGGTAACAGCTAAATCATGAATTGAAGTAGCAGTCACTTTGTTAAACCGTAGCTTTTTTTCTGTCTTCCTTTCCAAGTGGGAAAACACAATGATGCTTCTTCAGTAATTTTCTATCAGTCCAAAAGCAAGTGATTCGTGTCAAGATTTCTCGAAACTCAATCATTCTTAATTAAAGCTTTGTTCCAGAATTTTTGTTTTGGTCACTTTTGATTAACCTTTCACATGGCATACATATTGGTGCCTCTATACCATCCTGGCATGAGAAAGGTTAAAATGTTCCCCCTTGGGAAAGGAAGATAAAAATTTTAGAACATCAGCCAATCAATGAATCTGTCTCAAAAATCTATCAGTCAATCAACTTTTAGGTCAATCAGTCAATCAATCAATCAATGAGTCAATAAAAAAAACTGTCACTTACTTAACCAACTATGAAACTCTTACTATGTAGAACTTAACTGACTGTTTTAAGAATTACAGCCATTTCCTAGACGTGCTCCTAATAGTCCAAAACATTAAAATATTCTACCTGTCCAAAACATTAAAACTGTCCGCTGTATTCCTAAATGATTTATTGAAATAGTGACAACAGTAGTACATGTAGTTAGTCAATGATTGCTAATCTAAGTAGAGTAGCTGTCTTCTGTTGCAATGAGATTGTTGTCTTTAACCTTACTTTTCCTTCCAATTGATAGTAAGGGTGGGTACTGGTACACTGGACCAGAAAATAACTTTGAAGCTGTCAAAAAACAAAACCTGGACTGAATGATCAAGTTAGACTGGTACCCACCCTAGGTTGTGTGTATTGTTGATCTCAGAGTTACTCTATGTCAAAAAAATGTTTTTTATGTTTACCAAAGGAAAGCATAATGTTTTTGCTCGGTTTCCTCTTCTTCTTCTCCAAACCAAAAAAGGTCAATGACTGTCTGTTACCATGGTAACTAGTATTGGATTACATCTTGTTGCAATTTTATAGCAGGAGGGATTTAGACTCCTGTCTAACCATATATATGAATGTGTTTGAGTAAGAATTAACAGAGCAGTCTATATGCGAGGGTAAACATTATGCATTTGCTTTGCAAATGTTAGCTTGCTATAATGCTGTTATCGTGAATTTAGACAAACTTCTAATACCCAGGAATGATGGTGATGACTTGTACATGTACACGTATGTGCTTCTGCTGCAATTAGTTTTAGAGATGCCACTATAGCTAGCACCATGCATATGGATCAACTTAACACGATATTTACATGATGTGCTTGTATCGTCATTTAAGTCATTTAAAGGTATGGCTACACTAACGCAAGTCCTAGAATATAATACCCATGACTCATTGAGTGCTCCTCCCCTTTGCAGTTGCCAAGTTTTGTTCTCAGTGTCGCAGAAGCTGATAGTGCAGCAGCTTCCCAACAGTACAGACATCCTGAAGTGGCTGCGAGAGATCCTCTCCTGCCGTATCAAGTTCTTGGTCAAGTACAAGGTCAGTGTCTTCTGTATTTTCCTCTGAATTGAAGATCTAGTGCATAGGATCCTTTTCAGATTTTTTGGAAGTCATTAGATTCAAAAGTAAATGTGGTCAGGAAAGTTACAATGTTGTCAAAGTGGCAGCTTTAAATTTTGTACTGTAAGATGGTATTAAAAACTAAACATGAGGGGAAGAATTCAAGAAATATTTATGATACAATCAGTACATTTAGTCCTAGGAAAATATGTTGTTTCCTGTTTCAGTCCTGAAAAAATTAGGGTGAGAAGATAGGGATTATGTTATTTTTTTTTAGACTTTGGTGATCCCTTTTTATTGATTCAACTTATACAATACAGTTTAACAAAGTAAAACTTGCAGGACACGTATAGTTTGTCAATGTTGGAAACCCAATTGTACAATGTTTCAACACTCAGGTGTCTCATGGAGCCAGAAAAGGTCAATCAGCCCAAAAAATTTATGTCCCTTGCAAGAGTCCACACAAAGGAAGGCTAGGGTCGATAGTTTTTTCTAGAGTCGGTCAGGAAACAGGGAACGCAACATTTTTTTGTCCTAGGCCTTAGATGTTTATGTTTGGGGATTTTAGTTACACAGTTTATAGATGCTCTTTTCCCAGGACCATGCGACCGTGGGCAGCCACATCCCCATCTGTCGCCAGGCCCACAAGAAACTGGAGGTGGTGTTCTTCATGTACCTGTGGAGCAGCGACATGGAGGCTGTGTTAGTCGCCATGTCGTGTTTCCGCTATCTCTGCGAGGAGGCAGACATCCGCTCTCGTGTGGACGACCTGTCGGTGGAGCAGGTGTTACCCAACTACACAGTGTACTCCGACTTCGCTTCAGCGTGCAATAACAATATTGTGTCTATGGGTAAGTTCTCTGTCCTTTGTAAGGTCTCTTCACTGTATCATTTTACATTTTTTGACGTATATTCAGCATTAAATTTCATCTGTTGCAACATCTATAGATTAAGGGTTGGAAAATATTTTTACTTTTTCCACAACATGTAACAAAAACAGTAATAATGAAAGACCCACCCCCTTCTGCTCTGAAAGAAACCGCTCCATGTACTTGGAAATTTTTGGAGTGTTTTTATTAAGAAGTTTGCAGTTTTTGCATTGGGAGTATGACTTGTTTTATTATCTTCCATGGTGTTACTTACTAATACTATTATTTCAATGGCAAACTTAGAGATACCGCAAAGTCTGTGTCAAACTTTACATGCCACAAAACATAAATGAATTTACAGTAATCAAATCTCTGTGCTTCCAAAACACGACATAATAATAATAACCATTACTTGATGATATTTGTACCGGAAACTCACCTTACCTCACGTAGACCCGTCGTCATTTACTCCTGGATGTTATGGAAACATGACACGCGAGTACGTCACGAGGAGAGAGAAGGAAAAACAACTGCAGGAAATTGGAGACGGGCGAACTGCTAGACTAATCAGGAGAGTAGTCATGAATAGTGAGCACTCCCCTGCCAGCTAACGCCAGCCACAACAGAAGCTTCTCTTTTTGCCTCCCCCCTCCATGGAGGACCGGCATGCTACATGTGGACACTTTTTTGTTTCTCGGATGATCAAGGCTTGGCATTTTTTCAAATCTGGTGAATAGATGTCCACGGCTGCGATTCTGTCTCTGTGAACGTTGCTTTTCCATGTGTAGTCTTACAAAAGAATGTTGTATAGTATAGTAGTGGAGTAGGGTATAATACGAAGATGGAAAAAGGTACCTTAACACTGCTTTTTTTAAGGAAATGTTTTGTTGTTTAATCTTTCCTCAGGTCGTGCAGCACTTCAAAAGCACATTATGTCCCTTCTCAGAAGAATAGAACATTCCACACGGGGAAACATGGAGGTAGGTAGTAGCTATGTCAAGAATTTCTTAACAGTATATACATGGTACTAAGTCTTCTATATATAGCTTGTATCTTGATATTGTTTTGAATTGGTGGCAGTTTCCTTTGTAAATTGTTTTTGAAAACAATTTTGGTGTAAGGAAAATGTTTTAAGTTACAGTTTCATATCTATTTTTTTCTAATTGGAAGGGAAGAACATATTTTCTTTGAAAGTGTGAACTAAAAATAGTCTCTTTACTCAGTGTCTTACCAACCTGATGAAACTATTCACGTAGGAGAAGTAGAAATTTTGATAACTTTTTGTAAATTGTGACATATTTCCTGTATTCTTACGTACACTCCACAAACATGTTATCTATTTTTTCTACTTTTGTTTCAACTTCACACTTGATTTTCAGTGTGCCACAGGATTAAAAGTGCTGAAATTTAACTGAATTTACAGTGTCTACTTTTAATGTCCCCAGGCTTGGGAAGAGACTAGAAACAAGTGGGAAAACAACACCAAGGTCCTCATCAACTACCCCAAGGCCAAGGGTGACGATGCCCAGACGCCGGACAGCCTCCACAGAACGGTTGTACGCCGGCGAGCTTCCCAGTCCCCCTCTCTGCATGAGCATGATCTGGATGTGAGCATGGCTTTGCTGCTAGTCAGGAGAGCTAACCAGATTATGCCCAGCAAACTCTGTCTAGCTAACCATCTGTTAATAATAACCATCTATTGATAACTATCCAGTCTTTCAAAGAAATTGCAAAATCCTAACACTTGAACCTTGCATTGTCATTAGACAGTACTTCTTTGGTGAGGCCTCAGGTGTGGAGCCTGCCTTACTGTTCTTAATGACTATAAGTATGGGAAGAAGGGGGAAATTTTGAAAGCACATTAACAAATTAACAGATAATCTTTTAACCTGACTACAATCATTTGTTTAATGATTCAACCCAAGTGTTTGCTAGCACTAACTTCATGTAATTATTCTATTTCACAATGAATAATATTTATTTACTATTATATTCATTTGAGGGTAAAGATGAAACATGCTATGATCCTTCCCTTGTTGTATTGTTTTCAATTCAGGATCAGTTAAACGAGTGGATTAACATGACAGGGTTTCTCTGTGCGCTGGGCGGGGTCTGTTTGATGGACAAGACAAATACAAGGAGAAGGTAGGATTAGATTGACATGGCTAACATTTATGTATGGAATGGGGAACTTCAAGCAGATGTTGGGGTAGTAGATCATAACTTCTGACTGCAGCATTTCTCCTTGGGTGTGAGTAGTACTGTCAAGCAAGCCTTCCAGTAAGAAAGTAAAAGTCTTCCACCCATTATGGAGAAACAAAATTAATCCCTCTTTTGTCCTGTCCAGTATTGCCATTCCGTCGGACCCCAGTAGAAAAGGCAGTGTGTACTCCCTGTACAACGGGTCCCCTCAGTCAGAGGAGGAAATCTACCCTCCTGTCAGCAGGTTCCTGGCCAAACTCCTCAACCTCCTGGTGTGCAATAGTGAGAGAGCAGGGCTACAGGTCAGTATGGAGCATGGTTTAGCATGATTTGTAGGAAAATAGGTTCTTTTTGTGTTCAAATCATATGTTGCACTGATTTTGATGAGTTAGTGGTTGACGAAACTGCAGCAGTCATAATACAAATTGTACTTGAAGTTAAATTGCACAAGTTCCTACACATTGGTACGCTGATTTCTAGCCAGTGGTCATTAGAAATAGTCACTAATACCTAACCAGTTTTTCCTAGAAATCATTACTGTAAACACATGCAGTGGTTCCTGTAAACTGTTCTTGCACTATTTTACACCCATTGCTACAAAATTAATATTTACATTGATTTTCAAATATGCTGTTCTGAGAAATTGCTTTTTTTGGCGGCGCCATGTTTGCTAAAAAATGTCAGAGTGAATTGTCTGTCAGATATCACGATGCAAACAGACACAAGTTTTTAATGTTTTTTTTTTCTTGCCATGGTGTAATCAGATCCGAACAGCTGTGAAGGACCTTCTCGGCCTTGAACTCCACCCCGCCCTTTATCCCGTCCTCTTCAACCAGATCAAGTCCAACGTCAACAAGTTCTTCGACTCGACAGGGCAGGTACGCGTAAGTCAAATTCCCCTTCTTTCTTTAAACGCTACAAGACTCAGAAATCTAGATGGCTATACTAGAACTATGACCATACTGAAGATTTTGAAGTTATGATTAAAACTAGATATGCCTGCTCTTCTTTTTAAGTTGAAAATCAGTGTCTGACTCAGCAAATTTAAGATAGAATGTCCAAGTTTCTGTGATTTACAGAATTTGTAACAGTTATATATTGATGTATGAAATGAGTAAAAAAATGATTTTACTGGAAGCTGTGATTTCCTTACTTTTTCTCTGAATATTGGTTTAAATTTATTTTGAGCCCTTCAAGAAAGGCATAGATTCTTATTTGTTGACAGTTGTCACTCTGAACACCACTCCTAGGCCTTGGGAAAAAAATGTTGTGTTTCCTGTTTCCCGACCGACCCTAGAAAAACCTGTCGACCCTAGACTAGGGGGGGGGTAGACTTTTTTTACCTGCAAGGGACATTAATTTCGAGCTGATCAACCTTTTCTAGCTCTATGATCTGACACCTGAGTGATAAAATGTGGTACAGTTGGTTTTCTAACATTAACATTGAAGGTGTCTTCGTGTAAGTTTTACTTTGTTAAACTGTATTGTATAAGTTGGACCCCTATATAGATATCACTGAAGTCTAAAAAAAAAGATAATCCCTACCTACTAACCCTAATTTTTTCAGGACTGCAACAGGAACCATAACATTTTTTTCCTAAGGCCCTATCACCACTCCCATGATAGTAATGATAAAAATATTAGACTGACACCTACACTTTCTTGCTATTCTTTTTCTTTGCCATATATGGTGAAAATTGTGGCTGGTAGATGTGGTTGACAGAGTGAGTGGGCGTCTTGTGAGGATCAGTCTGGAAACTAGATTCCTCTACACCCACACACGATACACCAACGGGCAGAATGTCAAATACTGGTGCAAACATGCCTTTTGGGAAAATCGAAAAGAGTAGTTTATGGCATTTGGGACGAAAATGTCATACAAATTGTTTGTGTGATTTTAGAAAGATGTAATGTTTTCATTCATTGACTGAGACATTCTTTATCACACGCAAAAATACACACACACAAAGTCACTCACTCATAGTCACATACACATATTCTGTGTTACATTAAGTAAGGATGTGATTTCTTTATAGGTTTTTCATAATGTCGTCATGTAAAATAGAGAAACACTCAAACGTAAACTTGACTATTGACAGATATATTGTGTGACATCATGTTCAAAATTGTGTAGCAATTGTAAGCACCTGTTATCATGTTCCAACCAGATAACTTTTAAGCTAACCTGATATTTTGGGCAAAATCTTTAAGTTTGATCAATCTTTACTTGGAATCGTTTTTTAATATTTTGGTGATTTTTCGTTCCTTTTTTCTAATTCCACACGAAATGATTGGGCGATCCACAGCAGTTTTCCAAACATGAAATGTCTTTTTTTACAGGTAACTGTGACAGAGACTAACACACTTTTTGTGGAGCAAGTCATTTCCATCATGAAGAACATCCTAGAGAACAAGAGTGACCAGGCATACGAACACCTCGGCAGTGCCAGTATCGAGAACCTCATGTTAGGACTGGTCAGGTACATGGAAGCTCTTTGAACTTCTAATTGTTTAACCCTGTTCCTTCTGCCTTAACCTGTAGCTAGTACAGATTCTGTGCCAAAATGTAACGTAAGAAGAAAAAAGGTTAAATTCCATTTTTGGGAAGTTAACTTCAAAACTTGGAAAACATTTGGAGTAGCTACAACATTCCCCTATTGTCATTTGAAAAATTTCAGAGTCTTGTTTTTGATGTATTTCTGTCTTTTGATGTATTTTGTCTGTATTTCTCTAGATATGTACGAAACTTGGATCACAGCGTTCAAGGCATCCACATCAAGACCAACATGTGCTGCCTGGTGGAAGTGGTAGGTGGCGCTTCTTTGATTTGCTTTTCACAGTAAAATGAATGTCATTTGTTTGCACATTCAAAAAAACTAGATGGTAGTAAGATTTTCATGTCATGAAGTGATTGTAAGTTTTTGTCAAGTTAACTAAAGTTTGTAATGAAAATTTATGGTATTTTGGAAAAGTTATCACCCATGTGCCAAAAAGCAGTTACTCAAGCAACTGGATATGATTTTGAAAACGGTCAGACGTTTCAGGTAGCATCCACCACCTTTTGTCAGTGACACTAAGAGACCGCAGTTACCTGGAAGTCTAACCTTGTCCGATTTATCATCCATGCATTTGATAGATTTTATTACCTCAAATTTGTTTACCTAATATAGTATGCTGTTTTATGTTTTATATTTGCTCCTGCCTAGCCTTGTCTGCTTAGGTAACATGTGTAATGAAACTGTGTAATGTTCATTTTTCATAAATACAAAATAACTGTTCCATTAGATGATGAGCAGAAGAGACGACCTGTCCTTCCACCACGAGATGAAGTTCCGCAACAAACTTGTGGAGTACCTGACAGACTGGATCATGGGAACTTCCATCCAGCCTGAACAGGAGGACCTCAAGGTCATGACAAGGTCAGGACGACTTTCAAGTCAAGGAAATAAACTTGAAATTATCTGTAACTATGCCAGAGGTTTTTAGATTTAGTCTGACCAAAGAACAAAGCTGCTATACTGTGAGACCTGTCTGGTTATACTCAAGGGGCATAAAGAAGATGGTCACAGGAGACATGGGGCACTATAGACAGAACTGTTAATGCTAGGGTCAATGAGAAAAATTATGTAAAGGATCACCAATATTGGCCACAATGACCATGTGCAGAAATGGTAATTTTTTAGAATCCAAACTGTAATGTTTTGCCTAACATCACAATATAGATGATCGTATTGCATATTGTTTTTTATCAGCTTAACAATTTTGCATAGATTTTAGTGCTGATCTTGTGTTGTTTCCATGTTTCTAACAGGGACTTGGACCAGGCTAGTATTGAGGCAGTCGTCGCCCTGCTGACTGGGTTACCTCTCCAGCCTGAGGAGGGGGACGGGGAGATCTCATTGGAGGCCAAGTCACAACTCTTCCTCAAGTAAGGAACACAGGTTCATAGGATAACAACGGAAGTAGAAATAGTCTATTGTATTTCCAGTTGTGAACAGGAGTTGTAGAGTGAATGTGGTTCAGTACCATGGACAGGGAGAGCAGTGGTAGTGTAAATGTGTTCAGTGTTCAGTACCATGGACAGGGACAGTAGTGGTAGTGTGAATGTGAATATGTGTGTTCAGTACCATGGACAGGGACAGTAGTGGTAGTGAGAATGTGAATATATGTGTCCAGTACCATGGACAGTAGTGGTAGTTGAATTCAGTCTTTTCAGTACCAGGGACAGGGATAGTAGTGGTCGTGGGACAGTAGTGGTCATGTGAATGCGGTTCAGTACCATGGGCAGGGAGAGCAGTGGTAGTGTAAATATGGTTCAGTACCATGAACAGGGACAGAAGTGGTAGTGTGAACATGTGTTAGTACCATGGGCAGGGAGAGCAGTGATAGTGTAAATATGGTTCAGTACCATGGACAGGGACAGAAGTGGTAGTGTGAACATGTGTTAGTACCATGGGCAGGGAGAGCAGTGATAGTGTAAATATGGTTCAGTACCATGAACAGGGACAGTAGTGGTAGTGTGAACATGTGTTAGTACCATGGACAGGGAGAGTAGACTAAGGTAGTATGAATGCCATACAGTACCATAGACAGTTATACCTTCTTGTATTCCCCAGGTATTTTACCCTGTTCATGAACCTCCTGAACGACTGCGGTGAACAGGAACAAGACAACGACAGCAGCACCAATGGAGCGCGGAAGCGTGGCATGTCCCGCCGCATGGCCAACCTGCGCAACTGCACGGTGTCCGCCATGTCTAACCTGCTCAACGCTAACATAGAGAGTGGGCTCATGCATTCCTTAGGTATGGTATCTCTGATATTTTTGTGCTTTGAGATCATTTACGTATTGTTTGGACTGTGACAATTTTCATCTTGGATTTTCTTATTGTATGTCTCTCTTGGTCAGCCTGTAGTATTAGTAAAACTTTATATAAATGTTCAATTATTTTTGTTTAGGTTTGGGTAGTCACCAAGACATACAAACCAGGACCACATTCATGGAGGTGCTGACTAAGATCCTACATCAGGGGGCAGAGTTTGACACACTGGCTGAGACAGTTCTGGCTGATAGGTACTTTTAACTCTGATTTGAAGCACTTGAATGACAGAACTGTATTATCCATTTTAAACAACTGAAGTATTGTTTTCTACTATAACTGTGTGGACCAAGGGCTAAGGAAACAGACATGGGCACTGCCCTTTACACCATAGTGTGTGAGTTTATGAGGAGTTCATGAAGAATTTTTTGTTCCAGATTTGAGCGTTTAGTAGAATTGGTGACTATGATGGGAGACAAGGGAGAGTTACCTATTGCCATGGCACTGGCTAATGTCTGCTCTTCTGTACATATGGTAAGTTATGTGGATTATTGTCCCAATTTTGGATTATCTCTTTGATACTACCTATGTTTCTCAGACTGAAAAGTTTCTGTACATGTATGTTTTAACATTGCCATTCTGTCTCATGTTCACAGGATGAGCTGGCTAGAGTACTGGTGACACTGTTTGATGCCAAACACCTTTTTATACCAACTTCTGTGGAATATGTTTTCTAAAGAGGTACGTTCTTCTTACAGCTTAGAAAAGTTGTACTTGCTTAGATGATAAACAGTTACTTCAGTGAAAATTTTGTATCACAAATATTTACATTACTGGAGATAGCCAAAGGTGCTTGAACTGGTACCAATTGTTTTGTTGCAGGTAGAGTTAGCTGACTGTATGCAGACCATATTCAGGGGGAACAGTCTTGCCAGCAAAATCATGACCTTCTGTTTCAAGATCTACGGAGGCAGCTATCTGCACAACGTGCTGGAACCCCTGCTGAGGGGCATGTTACACCCCGAACTCAGCAATGTGCTGTACGAGATAGACCCTGCAAGGTAGGGGCAGCGCATTTGCAGATTTGGTGCAATTGGAAAAGATGTTTTTGCTGTTAGGAATGAATTCCTATGAAAATCTAGTACACAGTTATTCAGTGGCTCTTATCACTGAGTGTTCTGGCTAGAAGACTTGGGATTGAGAAGTCAGTTGTTTGATTCCTGTTGTTTCTTTACACAAACCAGGTGTAAATGGGTACCTGACTTTAATTTTGGTTGAGGAGGTACCTGTGTAAAAGGCTGTGTAAGGGGTGGGATGGGATGGGCTCTGCCTTCCAGTACCATACCCTAAACACAGCAGATTAACAACCCACAAAACCCTCAAAAAGGCCATGAGACCTTTACATTTACCTACCAGGCCTGTTGCATTTTAGAATATGGTAGTGAAACAAGCTCTTGTATGGTTGTATCAAAACCTAGAGCAAAGTTGCCTTTTTCAGACATACTAATGTGCTGTAGGGAAATTGTAACACTACCAAATTTCTTTGAGATACAGTAAAAAGATTACATGTGTTACCGTGTTATCCTAGGAGTGAGCCAGGGAGTAGCGTGGACGAGAACCGGAAAAACCTGATGGTCCTGACGCAGAAGTTCTTCAACCGGATCGTGAACTCTGCCGACCAGTTCCCCCAGCAGCTGAGGAGCATGTGCCACTGCCTGTATCAGGTGGTCAGCCAACGCTTCCCGCAAAACAGCATCGGCGCAGTGGGCAGTGCCGTCTTCCTGAGGTTTATCAACCCTGCTATTGGTCAGTACACATGGCAGTTAGGATTCAAAAATATGACATGACCTGACATGGCTTCAATGTTTTTAGAATCTGTTTAGAATGTGCAGAAAGTGTAAGATTTTTGAAACACCTTTGCATGATGAATAGGGACTTAGTATGCATTTGTTTTGTGGACTGTACTATTTTTCCTATACAGTATGGTGACAGTGTGATTTTCTTTCCATACATGTAGTGTCCCCGTGTGAAAATGGCCTGATTGACAGAGAACCCAGTCCAAACATCAAGAGAGGTCTCATGCTCATGTGTAAGGTCTGTATATACACAAATCATTACTTCTCCTCAGTTTTCTTTGAAAATGTTTGAAAAGCAGGAAGTAACTTGTGTCCATTATTTGTTTTCCTGTAAAAAATGGTGAAGTGATAAGTATCTGTTACAACCTTTCTCATTGGCCAGGTGATGCAGGGAGTGGCCAATCACGTCCTCTTTACCAAGGAGGAGCATATGAGACCGTTCAACGATTTCCTCAGGGCCAACTTTGATGCTGGGAAAAGGTAAAAATCAAACAAGATATATATTTGTTTGCAATACGTTTAGATTCTTGAGCAGATATTATTTTTGTGAACCCTCCTCCAGTGTGTATTCTTTTACATATCGTGTATGATGAAAAGCCATGAGAAATATTAATCCATGATTCGTGATGTTTTCTAGATTTTTTATGGAGATAGCCTCAGACTCGCAGACGCTGGACAACAGCAGCCACACTGTGTCCTTCATCAGTGATGCCAACGTCCTAGCCCTGCACAGACTACTGTGGAACAACCAGGAGAAGATCGGGGCCTATCTGGCCAGTAGCAGGTACCTGATTGGTTGTTTTATGGCCTTCCCATTCTTACGATGTCCATGATTGGCCGATTTCAAATTTTTGAATGAATATTTTCCTCTGCTTTGATTTTCAATGGTTAAAAGTTTAGGCTGCTATGATAATTCCCTCCACAACAGAGACCAGAAGGCTGTGGGAAGAAGACCATTTGACAAGATGGCCACCCTCCTGGCATATCTAGGGCCTCCTGAACACAACAGGCCAGCAATGGATGCACAGTATGTATCAGACAGACGTGTCCGCCATGCAAATGATATTGTAGCTTGATGAGCCTTGTCAACTTGTGGTTAAGGGTTTTGATATAGGTCTAAAGGTTCTGGGTTCAAATCCTTTCCAGGTATGCTGTATACGAATCAGAAAGGCACTTTTTTTAGTGTGGGACAGTTTTGCCATTATTCAAATAATCATAACAACAAGAATTTCAGTATGTACATTAGGCAAAATGTTGGGCAAAACCCACATGACTAAACTTCCGTTCCAGGTGGACCAGTATGAACCTGACGAGTACTAAGTTTGAGGAGTTCATGACGCGACACAACGTCCACGAGAAAGAGGAGTTCAAACAGATCAAGTCACTAAACATTTTCTACCAGGCAGGGAACTCCAAGGCAGGGAACCCTGTGTTCTATTATATAGCCAGGAGGTACAAGTGAGTTCTTTCTTCTATGTTTGTAGTGAAGTGAAGTGCTGTGTGTGTAAGTGTGCCTTTGTGTGTGTGTACAATGTATGTGCATGTGTTCATGCGTGTGTGTGTGCAATTGTGTGTGTGTGTGTTTGCCTGTGTGTGTGTGTGAAAAAGTATTGAAGTTATCGTAGAATCGGAGCTAAAGTCAAATATCGATTGGTTAATGTAGAGGGCAAGACTAACCAAAGGGGAGCTGATTTTTAGTCTCAGACATTATGCAAGACAATCTATGATTGGTTAATTGTGATTTGTCATTATACAGAAGCATGGGTCTGGTACAGGTTTATCTTTTATTTTTTCTTATTTTACACATTGTTGCTGTAGCCTGCATGAAAATGATACATGTAGATACTGTGTATAGATTTTAGTAATTTACTAATTGTGTTAATGTAAGAAACTGTTTTCTCCCCAGGTCAGGGCAGATGAATGGAGACCTCCTGCTGTACCACATTCTCCTGTCTCTGAAGCCCTTCTGTGGGAAGACTTACGAAGTGGTCCTGGACCTGACACACTGTGGGCCTGACAACAGATTCAAGGTCCTTTCATACTACCGTAGTCTAATTCCTAAAAAATATCAGGGTACCAGCTAACTGTATTTTGTCATAGTCTAGAATTCTCTGTGCATACAGCGTGTACCTCTGATCCAATCTATGTTGTAATCTTTATAACTCTTTGTCCCTGTACACCCAGAGTTCTTCATTTTTTCAAAGCATGTAAAGATATCCATGAAATGGTCAACACGAAAAAATTGTCAAAATTACCAATTGAAAGTAATAGCTAGATTAATAAATGCTTTCTTGTTAACTTATCTTCCCAATACTTCCTTGGCAGACTGACTTCCTGTCCAAGTGCTTCTATGTGTTTCCTGAGGTGGCCTATCACAACATCCTGGCCGTGTACCTGTACAACTGTAACACCTGGGTACGGGAGTACACCAAGTACCATGAGAGGATACTAGCCAACCTCAAGGTACAAACACTTCTTCTTGCCTTACACTTTACTGATTACTCTTTACTGATTTATATGTAGTATATTCTGTCGGACATATGAAGAACTGGTGAAATAGCCTGTTGGTAGAGAGGTTATTTTCATTTACAAGAATGCGTAATAGGTAGAGGGCAGCTTATGGGTTCAAACCCTGGCTGGAACATTTAATAAGAAAAAAAATTACTTTTGAGAAGCTGTACTTATTGCTTTTTCTGCTTAACCCTTATGAGAAAGTGAGTATGATAGTTAAATGCACACTGGCCCCAGGATGTAGATCTTGCACAACTGTACGTGTGTCCCAAGGGCTATAGAAATGGAGATGGGTGCCATCCTATATACTGAAAAGTGTGGAAAGGATCTTGTATTATCTTATTTTGGGACTAATGAATACATAGTGCCAAAACTTTATAATTTACAAGAACATCAGTGGGTTTTTTTTTTTACAACACCTCAGGGCAGAGCCTGCTTGTTACTGTGTTTTTCAAGTGACTCAGCCTCCTCTTGTTCACTTCCACCTCCTTTCTCCCCCAGGGTAACAGGAAGTTGATCTTCATTGACTCAGCGAACAAGTTCAGTGACTACATCCACCCTGACCAGCAGCACCTGCCTGGTGCTACCACCGCACTGGACGAGGACCTCAAGGTCTTCAACAACGCCCTCAAACTCTCCCACAAGGACACCAAGGTCGCAATAAAGGTCAGGGAGAATTTTCTTAAGATAAAAATGTTTTTATAGCCATTCTTCTAGGTCCTGCTTTTGTGACTTAGATTGTAAGAATTGTGGGTTTTGGGGTTTCATGAGAAATGAGGGATTGTACATTCAATGTGTATTGTTGGTGTAGTGATGTGTATTGATGATTTGTATTGGGAGGGGTTTTAATGTGTATTGTGAAAGTATGACTGAGTGTGTATTTTGCATGTTTTCACAGTGTATTGAGAAATGTATTGACTGTGTATTGGCAATATGGTGAATATGTTTTGTAGAATGAATTGTTTGTATTCACTGTGTATTTGCAAGTCTACTGCACATTTCATTTGTCTATCTATTGAAACACCTTTGTTGGAATATATTTTCACTACACTAATTAGGCATTGTGTCTGCTTTTCCACTGTAGGTGGGCCCCAGTGCTCTACAAGTCACTTCAGCAGAGAAGAGTCGAGTCCTGGGACACTCTGTACTGCTGAACGACATCTACTATGCATCTGAGATAGAAGAGGTTTGTATGAGACTCCAAGTATTATACTTCTAAACTACAGTGATATAGGGCTAGGTGTCCTGTGTTTAATCTCAGAAAGACGTGTAAAATTTGCTGTTGCTGAATTTTTGGAAGATTACAATTGTATGTCCCTAATAGGTGTTGCTGCTTAGTCTATTTTAATGTATGTAATGTGTCTGAAAAAAAGTGCTCACCATTTACATGTACATTGATTCTCCTCAGACTACATATTTGATGATGACGTACCATTAGAACAGTGCAATCATCTTTGCTGGCAGTAAGAATTTCCTGGAAAATGTATTCAGTGAGCGAAAGATTCTGACAAGAAATTCTTCCGCCTCTGAGGTGTCTCCAAAAAACAAAGTCCTTGACAATGTTTCCATGAATTCCATGAATGATGGTGCTGATGTTGTATGTGTGAACAGATCTGTTTGGTGGATGACAACCAGTTCACCCTGACCATAGCCAACCTGGGGACACCTCTCACCTTCATCCATAATGACTGTGAAGCCATTGTACAGGCCATCATCCACATCAGGACACGATGGGAGCTCTCCCAACCGGTAATGTGCTTTGGAGTCATGTATATTACAAATACATTAAAGCGATATTATGTAAGATTTTTCACTATATTTGGACATCGTTGTTATACACATTTATTGATAGTTTACTGATATTGGATGATGTTTTGTTCCAATGCAGGACACAGTCCCTGTCCACACAAAGATCAGACCAAAGGATGTTCCAGGGACTCTTCTTAATATGGTATGTTATATGCTCAGTGATTTGAGCATATAATATGTATAACTTGTGCAGTGCTGCCACCTAACTGTCAATGATTGTACTGCACTTGGTAAAAATCACAGTGATTATCTTACAATGGTCAACATGTATGACGACTATAATCATGGTGTTACAAAAAAAGCAAATCAAATTTCATTATTGATAACACTGTTAACTTGTGTCTTGTGATTCAGATGTAATGTGCAGTAATATGTATTCTTCTCGTGCAACCTTGTGTACCACTAAAAGCATTCAGTTTTAGAAGTGTGAATTTTTCCACCTTTTCAGGCACTTCTAAACCTGGGGAGCTCTGACCCTGGCCTGAGGTCTGCAGCTTACAACTTGCTCTGTGCTCTGACTCAGGCATTCAACCTCAAGATCGAGGGACAGCTATTGGAGAGTTCAGGTGCACACACCCTTTAACTATCAGAAATCAGAATGACCTTTTATATGATTTCTGTATTTTAAACTTTGATACATGAGAGATTCAAACCCTTTTCTTTTGATCCAGGCCTGTGCATTCCAGCCAACAACACAATCTTCATTGTGTCCATCAGCAAGAAACTAGCTGCCAACGAACCACATCTCACACTGGAGGTAACTACGTTTACTAAAAATATAATCTGCACTTCATTTATGTTGTGATGCTTATTTATGCATTTGGTTTGCAATTTCATGTCTTTATGTTGTTCTGTTATTTGCCAAAGGAAAATGGTTGTTTTTTTTAAATAGCATCAATCTGTGTTTTCTGGGAAGATCTCAGAATCATGTTCTGTTGTGTTGTTTCAGTTTCTTGAAGAGTGCATCTCAGGGTTCAGCAAGTCCAGCATTGAGTTGAAACATCTGTGTCTAGAGTACATGACACCCTGGCTACCCAATCTTACCAGGTGAGTGATTGGAGGATGTGTTACTTGTACACTGCTGCCACCTAGCTGTCATTACCTATACTGTATGTCGTAAAGATCTTTTCTCTCACTCTCATTCCAGAGTATTAGGTCTTTATCATGGTGACATTAAAAAAAAGTTGCAAATTTGTTATTAAGATGTTCTTGTTATGACGGTCTCCCCTCAGATTCTGCAAACACCAGGATGATACCAAACGGGCTAAGGTGTCAGTCATCCTGGACAAGCTGATCACCATGACGATCAACGAGAAGCAGATGTACCCGTCCATCCAGGCCAAGATCTGGGGCAACCTGGGGCAGGTGGGAGACCTGCTGGACGTGGTGCTGGACAGCTTCATCAAGGTCAGAAACACCTGCATGAGACCATTTTTCAAACACCTGCATGAGACCATTTTCTCAACATTTGCATGAGACCATTTTTCCAAACACCTGCATGAGACCATTTTTTAATTCCAAACACCTGCATGAGACCCAAGGTGTAAGTATTATTGACCTGTTTTATACATTTTAAGGGTGACTCTTCATTTTAACCACTAAAGTTGGCTGATTTCTTTTTACTGTAAAATGTAGTATGTTGATAAAGATTGATGTGATGACAGTTATCTACACTGTTTCTTCTCTCTTCCCCCACAGACCAGTGCTACAGGGGGTCTGGGTTCCCTGAAGGCGGAGGTCATGGCTGACACAGCGGTAGCCCTGGCTTCTGCCAATGTCAAACTGGTCTCAGCCAAGGTCATCAGCAGATTGTGCAAGGTCACTACACAGCAGATTTTTTTTACAAACACCCACACTGTCATTGTAGAAATTCCTAACTCCACAGTTTCAGGAACATTCTTGAAACTATAAATTTTGCTGACATCTTGCTGTAAAATATTGCTGATATAGTTTTTAACTTGGCAGTTTTGGCACTGACTTCTTACCACACGTCATCATAGCCTCAAACATTTTGTTATTTCTTTCTTTGATTTCAATCATGAACTCAATTGTTGCCATGCAGATTAATTGCTGTGATCTTTTCTTAGCTAAAATTTTCTGAATCTTTCTCCGTAGGAGCCACTAATAGGAGATTGGAACAAGATTTATCTTGACTAATCCAGGACAAATTATCTTACAGATTCTGGACAAGACCTGCTTGTCTCCCACCCCCACCCTTGAGCAGCATCTGATGTGGGACGACATCGCCATCCTAGCCAGATACATGCTCATGTTGTCATTCAACAACTCTTTGGATGGTGAGCTTTTTCTCTGTGTGTATGGGATTTGAACCTTGAACCTTCATTTTCATTCTGGGTCAACCAACCAAATACATTATTACAGTTTAAGAGAGTGCAAACTACTCTTTTTCATCTTTGTTGTAGGACTGTACATACATTAGTCTGATGATAATGATGATGATGATGATAGTCTGTAATTCAAAAGAAAGCTGCTAGGGGACTAATCCATCAACCAATGGCTAAAAATCCTTTCAAAATGTTTTTCCAAGAATTCAGTCTGTGTGGTCTTTGGTAAAGACCTAGAATAACTAGAATTACTAAGATTGATATTGATAAATAAATTACAATATGTTTTTAACAATATGTAAATTTTCTTATTTTACAGTTGCGAATCACCTTCCCTACCTGTTCCACATTGTAACACTGCTGGTGTACACGGGACCTCTCTCACTACGGGCATCCACCCACGGGCTTGTGGTCAATATCATTCACTCCCTGTGCACCTGTACACAGCTCAACTTCAGCGGTAGGGCTCTATAAAGAACTTCAGCTGGGTCAAAACTGTTACTGTATTCTATTTAATCTTAATCTGAAATTTTTCAGTGTCAGGAATTAGGACTGTCTGAAAGGCTATGCTTAAAAAAATGCAATTTTTGGCAATACCTCATGAGCATAGGCATTTCTTATCAAAGTTTTTCTCTAAACATTGGTGTCCTGACCTACACACTATTAGCGTTTGTTTTATTTACTATTCAGTAAAAATTTAGTATCATCATGCAATTTTAGCCACACCTAGGGAAGACACTTCTTATTAATGATTAAAAAATCTTATTCCTGTCAATCTATCGGATTGGCATTCTGTAACCCCTAGGTCTAATGGTATCTTGTGTTTCCCTTTTACAACTCCAAGCAGAGGAAACTAAGCAGGTGCTTCGGCTGAGCCTGACAGAGTTCTGCCTGCCCAAGTTCTACGTCCTGTTCGGCCTGAGTAAGGTGAAGTCTGCAGCTACAGCTGCCTTCAGGTGGGTTGGAAAGACACCTGTTGCTGTTTAGTGGATATCACCTGTCATGGAAACATTAAGTTACAGTGGTATGACTATCTTTGTCCAATTTTACCCAGCAAAGCAGTGAAGAGGTACCTACAGGAAGAAATATTGGACATGTACAAAATTTATTGTGTGCCGATTGACAAATAAAATATCTGCTTTTGTCAAGTGGAAATGTTTTGAAGCTGGTGTGTTACGCCGAAGGTCGGTCATACCGGCTATACTGATACAGAATATGGCAACCACTTGCAAGGTGATTTAGATAAAAGTTGGATAAGAGATTAAAATAAAACATCATAAGGTAAGAGTCCTTTTATCAAGGAGGCAAAAAATATTTCCTATAAATCCTCTTTTTTGTCAGGAAGTATTTTGTATTAAAATGAAATCAGATCCTAACTGTAAGATAACTCAATGATATCGGTGGCGACTTCAATTCTGATTGGTGTTCTCCTGTGTTTGTAGATCGAGTTACAAAGACAGGTCGTTCACCTCCCAGCATGAGAAGGGGGAGCAGATCTCCCTGTGCTCGCTAGAGGTCATCACTGACGCTCTGCTAGAGGTCATGGAGGCATGCATGCTGGACATCCCAGAATGCAACTGGCTGGAGAAATGGCAGGAACTGTCCAGGAGGTAACTCTTTACCATCATTGTTCTTGGACGGCTACTAGACCATGTAGTTTCTAGCATTAACCATTGGAATTAGTCATGTCAGCAATGTCATTTGGTCACAGGTTACTGTGTTGCAACTGTTGTAAAATCTCAAAAACAGCCTTGCATATACTTTAGAGTATCATTGCAGTCACATGTCCAAACCAATGCCCCTCTGGATAGTTTATCGCATCAATTTGGTCTTTCACCTCAAAAGTTATCTGCCAACTCATTGAGTACATGGTCCAAAATGTTAGTATGCTAACTGTGCTCATTCCCTTGGCTAGGTTTGCCTTCCAGTACAACCCTGCCCTACAGCCACGTGCGATGGTCGTCCTCGGCTGTATCAGCAAAACCACCACTGACGGCCAGGTCAAGCAGCTCATCCACATTCTAGCAAAGGTGAGGGAGACCTTCCGGAGTCATAACCCAGAGGTACAGCATGGGACTTTCTCTCTCACACAGGGCACGGTGATTTCCAGCAGCTCAGGCGAATGCCTTGCTTCTGTAGTACCAGCCACTAGTCCGTCCTCTCTTTTCAACACTCAAAACTGTCATCTTTTGTGGTCATTTTTCTAAAAATGCACATTTTCAACCTAAAAAGCACTCCTGTACTGTTCATCATTGCATTCTGTTCAATGGAGCACACTAACTAACTGAATCATCCTAAACTAAAACAATTCTCTTCACAAATCATTGAAGTCTCTCAGTTCAGACTGATGTAGCAGCACCCCCTATCTCATTCTACACAAACTACAGTTTCCCCATCTATAGCTGTGAAATTCTCTGTCTCTGATGACTGTCCTCCAAGGCTGTCGTTTTAGCTGTGGAAAACACTGTGCCACTGAACTCAAAGCAATATTTCATCATTCTAAGCATAACTTTCCACTACATTTGATCTTGGAAATGATGTTCTATGCTATATCACTGATGACAAGAAGGTTAAGTTTAGAGTTATCATACGTTGTCATAGTTTTTCACATGAATGTAATGTAGCATATTACTGTCCATATAGTTTGTGAGCTAAGGCAGATATCTATTTGAATATTACAAGACTTTAACATTACTTATGAGTATGATAGCAAAGAAGTCCCAATGCATGCATGATTCCCATGCATTATGAATTAGTATGTATTTCTGGGGTGTTTTTGAGTTGGCAGTTTTCTTCTTGTCCATTGTTGATATAATTCATGTTTACGCTGTCTTTGTTCTCAGACCAGCAAAGACATCTATGTGAGTCTATATATGTCTGGATCTTTGATACAAGTGAGGACTTGCCTAGCAAAAAGTTGCAAAGTGAAAATTCTGTCCACTTAGTAAAGAGGTTTGACTGGCTGGATTTTTGAGTTACTTTTATTTCACATTTAAATGCATGGCTGGATTTGAATATCTTGCTGCAAAAGAAATACAAAGCTTCCTTGTGAGAACTTTTATCGGGATATCTCATATAATATATCTTTTTGTTTTTCTTGTAGAACTGTTATTGAGTAATGCTAGCATGCTTTGCAAAACAGTGGCTCTGATTGGTTAAGCCTTACATTTCATTGTTTCCACAGAATATCTTTTCTGATTGGTTCATATAGATGAGCTATGACCAATGAAAGCCTGTATAACTCTGCTGCAATCTTTTCAATGTTTCCCTTTGTTTTATTCTTGCTCCTGCCACAAAAGCTTTCTGAGCACTGCATGTGCAGTACCTTCCAAACAGGACAGATGGCGCTGTATCTACTAGAGGCTTTTGCTTGGAGATGGGCACCAAGAAAAGTGAAATGCTATGTTATGTCACAAGAATTTGTACCAAGAATCAGGCATGTCCCCTTATTGAGATGAGTGATATGCATGATGCAGTACAGAATAGATTAAGTTGTTCCATCTGATCTGTTGTAGTATAATATTGCGTGCTTGATTTGTACCTCTAGGCATTGGAGTCCTACACAGACCTGGTGTTAGTTGAAGCCATTGTCATGTGCCTCACCAGACTACAGCCCTTACTTCCAAAGGTAAGCAAACAATGTTGCCTGCTTCACAGTTTCAGGCTTGGTTTGAAAATACATGTGTACTCACAAAATTGCTCGCAAATACATTCCCTAGGGAACTATGTTTAGTGCTGTAGACATGTTTCTATAGCTCTTGGACCACGCGAATACACAGGCACTATAGCAGAGTGCTAGTCCACTAGTATTACTAGTAGTATGATTTTGACTGTATTACTGTTTGAGTTCGGAGCAGAGAAAGCAGTATGTATATTTTTGGTA